TGAATGGAAAAAAGGACATCTCTTTACTCCAGCCATCTAAAAGCCTGTTGAGCTTTTCCAAATATTTCTCAAATCTTGTCTTAAGCAGGTTGAGAAAATTGCCGTGATGTAACAAAAGAAGCACGTAAGACACCATCCATCATCAACAAAACCTATTTTATGCCAAAGAACATCATGTTTGAGGACAAAAATCCAGAAAATCAGGATGGGGTGGGGTGGGGTGAAAGGTGCTGTCCCATTTCTGAATTTAGAAGGTGGTTTGGGCACTTTTGGAAGAGACTATTCGCTCATGATTGTTTCTCATGTCTGTTTGGATGTTCTTTGTCCTTATAATTTTTTTTTTAACCTGCTCTATTTAGGTCAAATTTAGAGGGAGAAAAATTAGCAGGTTTCAGGGGTTTGCAACCTGCATTGGTTCAGAGGGGAAGGTCACAATTGTTGTCCTGGGGTGGCGGGGGGTTAGAACAGAGGTCTGCTACCTTAAAAACGCTCAAAGAGCCATTTGGACCTGTTTCCCACAAAAAAGAAAACACCGGGAGCCACAGAACCCTTCCTGTGCCTGACGATTTCTTGAGCGATCACAAAACTAGCCGAATTAAACGTTCCGTTTTCTTCTGAAACTTTTCTTTTCTTGGCTTTATCCATGGTTGGCCGACCCGGGGGTTGAAAAGCTCAATAAATCGCGTGCTGGGGGGTGTCACACATCGGCAGTTGTGACGCAGATTTTGAATGACAGGGAGCCGCAGCAGAGGGGGCGAAAGAGCCACATGCGGCTCCAGAGCCGCAGGTTGCTGACCCCCTTGGGTTAGAAGAATTGCCAACAAGAGAAAAAAGTTTGGGAAATGCTTTGACGTCAAGTGTTAGTACCGCTTTATAATGCCTTGGGAAGACCAGACTTGGAATACCGCGTCCAGTTTTTGGTCACTACGATATAAAAAAGATGTCGAGACTCTGGAAAGAGTGCAGAGAAGAGCAACGAAGAGGATGAGGGGCCTGGAGGCTGGTATCTACGGAGAAGGGGATTGCTGGAATTGGGGATGTCTAGTTCAATGCAAAGAAGGAGATAGCTAGTGGTCTTCCAATATTTGACGGCCGTGGCCAGGGGGGCTTTTTATCAGGTTCGCCTGATACGCCAGTTGCGCCCCTTTCTAGATCGGGACTCCCTACGCACGGTCACTCAGGCACTCGTCACCTCCCGCCTGGACTACTGCAACGCTCTCTACATGGGGCTCCCCCTGGGGTGCACCCGGAGGCTCCAGCTGGTCCAGAATGCTGCCGCGCGGGGGATTATGGGAGCGACGGGGCGCTCCCATGTGACACCTCTCCTGCGCGAGCTGCACTGGCTCCCGGTGGTCTTCTGGGTGCGCTTCAAGGTATTGCTGACCACCTTTAAAGCGCTCCATGGCTCAGGGCCGGGGTATCTACGAGAGCACCTTCTGTCACCAATAGCCTCCCACCGGCCAGTACGCTCGCACAGAGTGGGCCTCCTCAGGGTGCCGTCCGCCAGACAGTGCCGGCTGGCGACCCCCAGGGGGAGAGCCTTCTCTGTGGCGGCGCCCGCCCTCTAGAACAACCTCCCCCCAGAGATACGTACAATATCAGACCTCCGGATTTTTCGTTGGGCCCTGAAAACTTATTTATTTCAACTAGCCAGGCTGGCTTGATCCCACAGTTTTGGGTTAAACGTTAATTGATTTTAAATTGGGTTTGTTTTAAATTGCGGCCAAAAATATTTAATTATTTTAAACTGTTTTTAAATTTTGTATGTTTTGTTTTTATTTTGGCTGTTCACCGCCCTGAGTCCTATTGGAGAAGGGCGGTATACAAAATAAATAAATAAATAACTAAATTTGAGGGGCTGCCCCAAAGAAGAGGGGGGGGGGGTCAACCTACTCTCCAAAGCACCCGGAGGCAGGACAAGAAGCAACAGATGGAAACTAGTCAAGGAGAGAAGCAATCTAGAACTAAGGAGAAATGTCCTGACTGTGAGAACAATTAACCAGTGGAACAACTTGCTACCAGAAGTTGTGAGTGCCCCAACACTGGAAGTTTTTTTAACAAGAGATTGGACAACCATTTGTGTGAAATAGTATATGATCTCGGTTTTGGGTCGGTTTAGAAGGCCTCCAAGCTCCCTTCCAACTATTATTCTGTTAATTGTGATAACACCAGGATGATCTCAGTTAAGCAGCCCCGTTGATCGAAGCAAGGACCCTCTGGCCAGGGTTGCAACTCCCAAAATGCCAGCCAAGTGAGAATTATGGGAGTTGTAGTCCTTGCATGTGTGAAAAGGAGAAAGGGGAAGGTCTGAAGCCCATGTGCCACTCCGGTGTTGATCTCAGCCAGTGTTGTGGCCCGCCAGCGGCCTGCGCGGATCGTGGCTAATCCTGACGACGAGGAGGCTGGTGTGGTGTCGTGCCGGCAGCCTGTGCAGCCGGCGCTTGCGTCGGACAGCGAGGAGGCTGACGAGGATGTGGTGCCAGAGGCAGGGCCTTCAGAACCTCCAGAGGCTCCTTCAAGTGGAGAGAGCGAAGTGGAGGAGCCTCTCCTCAATGCTCGAGCACGCAAGGGCTGCCAAAAGGCAGGAGTGGCTATTCAGGAGGAGGAGGTCTCCTCGAGAGTGGGGCTTGAGGATAATTGGCCACTCCCTTAGCCTATTTAAGTCGCCCACAGCTAGTGCTTTCTTGCTGGAAACAACTCGTATTTATTATCAGAGTATTTTGGTTTATCGTATCTTGTTTTCTGGGCTGGTTGCCAACCTTTGCCGGTCTTGTTTATCCTTGCTACTTAATAAATTTGATAAGGACCGTTGGTGCGTGTCAATATCCTCGGAAATCCGGACCTGGAGCAGAACAGCCAGATTCACTTAACAGCTGTGTTTCTAACTTCAGCACCGCAGTGGTTCACTTAACAACGATGGGAACAACGGTTGTAAGATGGGGCAAAACCTCACTTGACAACTGCCTCACTTAGCAACAGAAATTTTGGGCTGAATTGTGGCCATACGTTGAGGACTACCTGTAAATCAGCGGGACGGCTTGTTTCCAGAAGTTGTGGGTGCTGCCCACACGGGAGGTTTTTAAGAAGAGATTGGACCGCCATTTGTCTGAGTCTCCTGCCTGGGCTGGAGGTTGGACTAGAAGACCTTCGAAGGTCCCTTCCAACTCTGTTTATTCTGTTAAGCAGAAAGCTTTGGCTCCAGAAGTTGGGGAGGGGTTTAAGAAGAAAGCGGACAACCATTTGTCTCAAGTGGTACAAGGTCTCCTCCTTGAGCAGGGGGTTGGACCGGATGACCTCTGAGGTCCCTTCCCACTCTGTCATTCTGCTGTTGATTAAGCAACAGAAAGCCTCCAGAAGTTGTGGATAGTCCATTGCTGGAGGAGTTTAAGAAGAAATTGGATAACCAATTTCTTGTAGTGGACAAAGATCCACTAAATCAGCAGGGGGTTGGACTCGATGACCTCTGAGGCCCCTTCCAACTCTCGTCATTCTGTTCATTAAACGAGAACAGAATAGAATTCTTTATTGGCCAAGTGTGATTGGACACAAAAGGGAATTTATCTTTGTGGCACATCAGCAGGGGGTTGGGCTAGATGACCTCCGAGGTCCCTTCCAACAAAATAGAATAGAATAGAATTCTTTATTGGCCAAGTGTGATTGGACACAAAAGGGAATTTATCTTTGGCGCATCAGCAGGGGGTTGGACTGGATGACCTCCGAGGTCCCTTCCAACTAAACAAAAACAGAATAGAATTCTTTATTGGCCAAGTGTGATTGGACACAAAAGGGAATTTATCTTTGTGGTACATCAGCAGGGGGTTGGACTGGATGACCTCCGAGGTCCCTTCCAACTAAACTAGAATAGAATTCTTTATTGGCCAAGTGTGATTGGTACACAGAAGGGAATTTATCTTTGTGGCGCATCAGCAGGGGGTTGGACTGGATGACCTCCGAGGTCCCTTCCAATTAAACAATAGAAATAGAATAGAATTCTTTATTGGCCCAGTGTGATTGGACACAGGAGGGAATTTATCTTTGGCGCATCAGCAGGGGGTTGGAATAAATGACCTCCGAAGTCCCTTCCAACAAAACAATAGAATAGAATAGAATAGAATTCTTTATTGGCCAAGTGTGATTGGACACAGGAGGGAATTTATCTTTGTGGCGCATCAGCAGGGGGCTTGGACTTGATGACCTCTGAGGTCCCTTCGAACTAATTGGCCAAGTGTGATTGGACACACAAGGGATTTTATCTTTGTGGCGCATCAGCAGGGGGTTGGACTGGATGACCTCTGAGGTCCCTTCGAACTAATTGGCCAAGTGTGATTGGACACAGGAGGGACTTTATCTTTGTGGCGCATCAGCAGGGGGTTCGACTAGATGACCTCTGAGGTCCCTTCAAACTAATTGGCCAAGTGTGATTGGACACATGAGGGATTTTATCTTTGTGGCGCATCAGCAGGGGGTTGGACTGGATGACCTCCAAGGTCCCCTTCCAACTAAACAATAGAACAGAATAGAATTCTTTATTGGCTAAGTGTGATTGGACACAGGAGGGAATTTATCTTTGCGGCGCATCAGCAGGGGGGTTGGACTAGATGACCTTACCAAGGGTCCCTTTCCCACCCTGTCACCCCGTTTGATTACCGATGCCTTCCACAACCTGCCAGATCCAACGCCGGGGCGGAGGGCGCCGGGTTGACGTTCCACCCTCTCCTTTCTCTCCCACCGCAGGCTACACTTGAGTCCGCCCCCTCTCTCTCTTTCTCTTCTCTCCCCCCGCCCCGCCCCGCTCTTAATTATGCAGTCGGGAATCGCCGCCGCCCGATTGGCCCGTCCCGTCCAGCCAATGAGCGGGCCGCGGGGCCTCCTGGCGGCAGCACCACGGTACACGTGCGAGCTGGGCGTGTAAGCGGAGCCCCAGCTGGGACTGAGAGGCGAGCGCTCTGCTTTTCTCGGCTCATAGAAAACGCGCCGCCTCCTTTTTGCCAGAGCCAGAAGCAGTTGAGTCGGCCGAGGGGAAGGAGCTCAGTCGTTGCTGCTGTTATTACTGTGGTGCTGCTGCTGCTGCTGGTGCTGCTGTTTCTGCTGTTGCTGCGGCTTCTCGGTCGCCCGCAGGAGAAAGGAGAATGCCCGCGGTCAGCGAGGGAACCACCGCCAACTGGTCGCGTGGAGCCGGCGAGCAGTTCGCCCCGGCTCAGGCTTGCGTCGGATAAAGCCCAGGATCCCACAACCTCCCCTCCCCTCAACCGCCCCCTCCCCAGGAAAGAATCGATCGCCTCCCTCTTTTTTCCCCTCACCCCACCTGCTGATCCCCCGTGAGTAGTTTAAAATATTATATTTTTTTCATTGTTGTATATTAAATATTTGATATCTTAAACTATATCTATTCATACAAAGCATACATATTAGAATCTATAAATATATATTTAATATCTTAAACTATTTATATAAAGGATATATATTAGAATCTATAAATATATATTTAATATCTTAAACTATTTATATAAAGGATATATATTAGAATCTATAAATATATATTTAATATCTTAAACTATTTATATAAAGGATATATATTAGAATATATAAATATATATTTAATATCTTAAGCTGTATCTATTTATACAAAGGATATATATTAGAATATATAAATATATATTTAATATCTTAAACTATATCTATACAAAGGATATATATTATCATCTATAAAGATATATTTAATATCTTAAACTATATTTATACAAAGGATGTATATTAGAATATATAAAGATATATTTAATATCTTAAACTATATTTATACAAAGGATATATATTAGAATCTATAAAGATATATTTAATATCTTAAACTATATCTATTTATACAAAGGATATATATTAGAATATATAAAGATATATTTAATATCTTAAACTATATCTATTTATACAAAGGATATATATTAGAATCTATAAAGATATATTTAATATCTTAAACTATGTTTATACAAAGGATATATATTATATATAAATATATATTTAATATCTTAAACTATATCTATATAAAGGATATATTATCATATATAAATATATATTTAATATCTTAAACTATATCTATACAAAGGATATATATTATATATAAATATATATTTAATATATTAAACTATATATATCTATTTATGCAAAGGATATATATTATCATATATAATATATATTTAATATATTAAACTCTCTCTCTATATATATATTTAAATATAAATATATTTATTCAAAGGATATATATATATCTATATATGTCTGTCTTCTTGGAAGATTTTAAGCTAGGATTTTAACCAAAATTTTAAACATTTTAACTAACTTATTTAACATGACGCGGGGGAAAACACCTGAGATTTTAATTTTTTGCATTTATATATATCTATATCTCTATATGTCTGTCTATATATCTCTATATCTACTATCTATCTATCTATCTATCTATCTATATCTATCTATCTATGTTTTCTTTTCTTTTCGTAGGCCTTTACGTGCATTTCTCTTTAGCCAGGTTCTTCTTACGTAAACCAAGATTTTTATGCAGTCCTAGTTCAGTGAAATCACAATATACTAGTTTCTAGGCTTTTTTTTTTTCAGGCAGCTAGTTTCTAGCCTTTTTTTTATTATATATATATATATATATATATATATATTATATATATATATATATATATCTCCTTTGAATAAATATATTTGTATAAACATATTTATATTTACTTTGAATAATATATTTGTATAAACATATTTATATTTACTTTGTATTAATATATTTGTATAAATATATAAATATATTTATATTTAAAATATATATATATATAGTTTAATATATTAAATATATACTTAAGATATTTATATATTTTATTTATATATATATATATATATATATATATATATTATATATATATATATCCTTTGACAACGGGCATGCAAATATATTTATATTTATTATATATATATATATATAGTTAATATATTAAATATATACTTAAGATATTTAAATATTTTTATATATTTAAATATCTTAATATTTAATATGTTAGACTATATATAATATAGTTTAATATATTAAATATATATTAAACTATATGATAAGGATATATTATATATATATATCCTTTGACGACGGGCGTGCAAAAGAAAAGTGGGCATGCAAAAAGTGCCCGTGCAAGAAAGCGGAGGGGCGTCCAAATCCAGCCATGTGGGGTGGGTGGGGGGGCTTCCAGATCTGGCTGGCGATCTAGCCGGCTGGCTTATCTCGGAGAAGTGCCTGATTTAAGGTGGCTCAGCGGCATCCAGAAAAGCTCGGCGGTTCGAATCCCCTTGTACCAAGGTCTCTTGCCTGATAGAGCGAGGAGGGGGTGGGGGTTGGACTAGATGACCTCCCAAGGTCCCTTCCGACTCTTGTTAACGGTGAAAGGGCCTGACTTAAAGGTGGCTCCGGTAGCCAAGACGCTGAGCTTGTCGATCAGAAAAGTCCCCCTTGTACAAGTCTCTTGCTTGATTGAGCATTGGGGGCGGGTTGGACTAAATGACCTCCGGGGTCCCTTCCGACCCTGTTACGGTGAAAGGGCCTGATTTAAGGTGGCTCCAGTGGCTAAGATGCTGAGCTTGTCGATCAGAAAAAGTCCCCTTGTACAGGTCTCTTGCCTGTACAAGGTGGGGATGGACTAGATGACCTCCGAGGTCCCTTCCAATTCCCTTAAAAGTGGGAACCCCGCCTTAAGAGAGGGTTCCAGAATGGCGGCGGCGGCGGCTGTAGCCGTGGCTGGCAAGCCCAGCTCGGGCATCACGTGGGCCGGGGCAGGGAACAAAATGTTCTCTCCGCCAAACGCCGCTTTCGTAATCGGGAAAGGGGGGGGTAGGCGCTGCGAAGCACCCGTCTCGGCCATGTGCTGCAGGCGGGGCCGGCAGGAGAAGGATGGAGGGAGGGGAGAGGAGGGGGAGACGGAGGGAAGGGACCGTCTGTTGGCTGTCTTGCAAGGCGGAGAGGATGGGGGGGGTCTGAAAGGAGGGTCAGTCTGCGTGGCCGTGAGGAGAACCCCCCCCCACCCGCCCCGAGGAAGACGGAGAAGCAGCAGGAGGAGGTTCGGTGTCAGCTGCTTTCTATGCCACTTTCCTTTTGATCTGTTTTTTAGGGTGGGGTTGGGGGTAGGTTTGGGACCCGCTTATTTGTCCTTGCCTCGGGCAAGGGTGGGGTGGACTAGATGACCTCGAAGGGCCCTTCGTGCCCTAGGATTCTGTAGAAGGGCAAGCCTGGCGGTGGGAAGGAGTGGGGAGGGGGGCGTTTCAAGGGAAACGGCGGCTTATTTGTCCTGCCTTGGGCAAGGGAGGGGTGGACTAGATGACTTGGAAGGGCCCTTCTTCCTGCCCTAGGATTCTCTGTGGGTGTGTGAGTGTGTGTGGGGGGGCGGCGGCAATCGGAGGGGTGTTTTGGGGGTGTCTCTGGATGAGTTTCCCCCTCCCCACTTGTCAAAGCGCACCTAATAAAGCAGAGAGGTCTGAGTCTTCGGAGAGGGGCGGCATACAAATTTAAAATTAAATTAAATTAAATTACATTACATTTTTCTCAATTTGGGTCACTTTGAAGAAGGAAGGTGGACTTCAATTCCCAGGATCCCCCGGAAGCTCTGTTTCTTCCCCACCTTCCCGACCCCCCCCAAGGGGGTTCTGGGAGTTGAAGTCCACCCTTCTGAAAAAGTTTGCCGAGAAAGGGAGTCTCGGGGGCTCTTCCCATAGAGGGGTGGGATTCATCGATCGTCACTCCCCTCTCTATGGTCTGACTTGGGGGGGGGCTGGCCAGCTGAAACCCCCCAAAACAAACCCATTTCCGGCCCAGCTCCCTCCCTCCCGTGGGCAAACAGGTCCCACTGTAATGCTGATCGGGATTTGGGGGGGTGTCTCATAAGCTCCCTCCCTCCCGTGGGCAAACAGGTCCCACTGTAATGCTGATCGGGATTTGGGGGGGTCTCATAACCCCCCCCCCAGTGCAGCTTTCAAAGAAACGGTTTGGTGCTTGGATTTTCCCCAACTTTTTGGGGGTGCCCAGCAAACGAAACTTTGTTGTTGTCGTTGTCGGGTTGTAAGACAAAATGGTTTCTTTAAACCCAGCTTTAAAGTTATTTTTTTTTAAAGAAAATTCCCCTTGCCTTTTATAGAATTTCCTGTTCGGGGAGGGGGGGGAAAAAAAGTACATCCTGTACTAAGACGGGTTTGTTGTGACATTTTTTGCAGCTCGGCTGGGAGTTGACAACTGCAATCGCCTACACGTATCGCTAGGCACGGCTTTCTAATTTTAAACCCCACCTCTCCAACCCCCCCCCCCCCGTGCCCTTCGGAAGGCTGGTACTACAGGGCCCATGCTCCCCAGCCACGGGGCAGCTGTGGGGACGCTTGCTGGAGAGTAGGAGGATGGTTTTAAGCGGCCCCCCCTTTTTTTTGCGGGCTCGGTTTGGGAGGCTTTTGCAAGGATTTGCTGGTGTTTTGACAGCTGTCTTGGTGGCTTCAAAAGTAAGGGGGTTTCTTTGTGAGTTGGCAGTGTGATTGTGTTTGTTTGTGTGTGTGTGTGTGTGTGTTTTGGCTGGGAGGAGGGCCGGGCTTGTTTGCAGTGCTAATGACTAGGTTGGATGTGAGTCTGCCTTCAAAAACCGGCTTTTGTTTCGTAAATTTTCACAGTCTTTTTCTACAGTCCTTCCTTTGCAAGGGAAGTTTGATTCCACTTTCGCAATTGAAAAGTATCTGGACTTCAACTCCCAGAATTCCCCAGCCAGCTCAGCTGGCTGGGGAATTCTGGGAGTTGAAGTCCACATTTCCCTGGTTGACAAACAGTGCTTAAACCCCAAAGAAGGAACATAGATTGAATCGTTCGCTTACAACTTTGTTTAACAATGCTTCAAAGTTATGACAGACTCGGGGAAAAGTGACTTATGACCCTGTCCTCGGAGTTATGACTGTTGCAGATACCACCAATCCTCCCCCCGCGCCCCCCGATTGCAAATTTGCGTACTGGCTCCCCTTTTTGATGGTTTGAGATCAACTTGAGCCAACCTTCCCGGCTAGCCTCCGACGAGCAGAATCCATTTTGGGGGAGCCAGATTCGCTTATACAGCCGCACGATTCACTTAACGACCGCACCGTTTGCTTAATGACCGCCGGAAACATGGTCGTAAAATGGGGTTGTAAGTCGAGGACCATTTAACAAAATCAATTGGGGAGGCCAGATTCGCTTAACAAGCCCAACGAGCGCGGTAATAATGCTCATAAAATTGAGCCCAGTCGCCTGATCGCTCACTTAGTGACTAAAATTACAGTCCCAACGACGGTCATAAATGGAGGACTGCCTAGATCTTTGCGATCCTTGTATCGGGGAGGCAGAAAACTCTGTTAAATCAAAACCTGAGATCCGCCTGTAGATTTAAACTCGGGGGTGGGGTGTGGGGATTACAGGATGAGATCCTAGAGGCTGGATCCAGTCACCGCCGGCTCCTTGAATCCATCATCAGCTCCTAGGAAGCGAGTTTTATTTTGCTTAGTAAGAACTTGAGAAAGCAAAGCGAAGTTTTAAGCACTAACAGTACAGTGCTGGCTGGGGGATGCTGGGAGTTGAAGTCCGCCCATCTTCAAGTTTCCCAAAATGGTGGTGTGGGAACCAGATTTTAGCAGCATTGCAAATGGAGACGTTCTAAGGCAGGTGTCGGCAATCCCTGGCTCTGGAGCCGCATGTGGCTCTTTCATCCCTCTTCTGCGGCTCCCTGTCACTCAAAATATGCGTCACAACTGCCAATGTGTGATACCCGCCGGCACACAATTTATTGAGCTTTTTGACCCCCGGTAGGCCAACCAGTCCAACAAAAGAGAAGTTTCAGAAGAAAACAGAACATTTAATTCAACTACAGATGCTAGTTTTGTGGCCGCTGAGGAAATAGTCAGGCACGGGAAGGATTTTGTGGCTCCCAGTGTTTTCTTTTCTGTGGGAAACGGGCTCACCTTTGACCTCAGCAACGGAAGGGAACACCATTGGGCGGGGATTCGGCTAGGGGAAAGGGCACCAAGGGGTGATCTTCCTGCACAAAGTTCTATTTTATATTTGTGGATTTATTATTTTTTTTTTTTTACGTCTTCCCTTGTAGGCCTTCTGTACGAAATGAGTGCTCCTGAATGAAACTGCTTGGCCCCCCGCAGCCCCCTACGAAGAAGGTGGTTCCGTTTTCGCCGGCAAAGCTCCCCGTCTCTCTCTCTCCACCCGGGATTTATAGCGTTGAGCGCCCTGTTATTTCTTCCGAGGCCAAGGCTACGTATTCCACAAGCAGGCATGAGTGCCGGGTGCGAATCCAGCCCAAACAGTGGGGGCGGGAGCAGTAGTGGCAGCTCCGGCGCCCCCCGCAGGACACGGGCTCCTCGTGGGAGCGACGCCCAGGGCCAGACCACCGACGACATGGACATTAACAGCAACGGCTCCAGCGGCAACGAATCTCACGGCGATTCACACAGTAGTTCGAACAGCAGCGGCAACGGGAAGGACTCGGCTCTCCTGGAGACCACGGAGAGCAACAAGAGGTAGGGAGAGGGGTCTGTCCTCGGCTTACGACCAGAATGAATTTCCGTCGCTAAGCAAGACGGGTCTGAAGTGAGTTGCGTCCGATTTTATGGCCTTGGGCTGGGTTTTTTTTTTTTTGTCACGATGGTTAAGCCAATCCTGGCAGTCGTTAAGCGAATTGTGCGTCGTTAAGTGAGCCCAGCTTCCTTCCTTGACGGAAGCTGGCTGGGAATGTCACAAATGGGGGGGGGTCTTGTGACTGCAGGACACCGCAACAAATTTTAACATGCCCGCATTTTAATCACGTGACTGGGGAATGCCGCAACGGTCATAAGTGTGAGGACGTCGTTAAGTCAGTTTTTTCCAGGGCTGTTGTAAGCTTGAACGGTCACTCAATGACAGGTTGTAAGTTTGTAAAGCCTTGGCCATTCGAAGGTCGGCAGGGTCATCCCAGAATTGGATGGTACAGCGAGTCCTCAACTTACGACCATTTGCTTAGCCACCGTTTCAAGTTACGACGGCGCTGGAAAAAGGCGACTTAACAAACGGTCCCTGCGTGGGACCCCCGGTCCGATGATCGCGACTTTCCCAGCCTGCGTCCGACAAGCGAAGTCAATGGAGGACATCCGGATTCGCTTAACCACCGGGTGACTCGCTTAACGACGGGAGCAAAAAAAAATAGTCGTAAAATCAGGCACAGTCGTGTGTGATGACGCGTTTAACAACTGCCTTGCTTAGCAACGGGAGTTTTGCTTCCAGTTGTCGTAAGTCGAGGACTTAACCTGTTCCCCTATCTCTTCCCCAGCTCCAATTCGCAGAGCCCGTCTCCTCCCAGCAGCTCCATCGCCTACAGCCTTTTGAGTGCCAGCTCGGAGCAGGACAATCCCTCTACCAGCGGCTGCAGGTAAGCTGGGATGGGCAGGTGGGGCCTTTCCAGAACGCACCTGTGTGCCACACAGTTCTGGAGAATGAGCGGGCAGGAATGTTTAGCAGGGAGAGAGAGCAAAGTTGTGGGGGGGGGAAAAAATCTGAATTTACTTCCTCTCCAGGGAAGTAAATAAGAATATTGACTTTACTCCAAGGAAGTACAGAAGAATATTTACAATTACGACTCTTTTTTTTTTTTTTTACGATCGGTTGGACTTGCGCTCCCCGAATTCCTGAGCCAGCATGGCCAGCTGAGGAATTCTGGGAGTTGAAGTCCAGAGATCGTAAAGGGGGGCCATAGCTACCTAATCCCCCCGTTTATAGAAGAATGTAAAGATAACAGAAAACGGGGGAAAGGATGGGAAATGACATGACTGCCGTTTGACCAGGATGATATAAGGGTGTCTTTCGTGGGGGTGGACTAGAAGACCTCTAGGGTCCCATCCCATTATGATGTGATATCACAGCAGCATGAAAGAAAAAGAGCAAAAGGCATACTTATTGCAAACTATTGGGTCGAGATTCTTATTTTCATTTTTTTAGTTTATTTAATAAATTGCTTGAAGTATCAAGCAAACTTTTGGTGCCTTGTTCTCAATAGTATAGACAATTAAAATAGAAATGTTGAAACCGAGACCATTAACATTAAAAAATCAACAACAAACTACACCTAATCCTCAGTTTAGCCGTGGTGCGGTGGCCTAGAGGTGGAGCTCTCTCGCCTCACAATCAGGAGGTTGTGAGTTCGATCCTAGGTAGAGTCAGATATTTCTCTCTCTCTCGGCACAATGAGAAATATATCTGCTGAACAAAACTCCTCATTGGCAACAGGCAAGGCATCCGGCCAGTAAAACACTCAGCTCCATTCAGTTGCCCAGGCTCTACTCCGCAAGGGATTATGGGGGTCGTTAAATGAAAAGGATGATGATTGTATGATACAGAGAAACAACACAGTCTTAGTTCGGATGTAGTAGATGACCGGCCTCTCCTTTTTTTGCCTCCCCCCCTGCAGCAGTGAGCAGTCGGCCCGCGTGAAGACGCAGAAGGAGCTGATGAAAGCCCTCAAAGAGATGAAGATCCGTCTGCCCTCCGAGAAACGCAGCAAGGGGAAGTCGGGCACGCTGGCCACCCTCCAGTATGCCCTCTCCTGCGTGAAGCAGGTCCAAGGTGGGTCATTTCCCGCTTCAACCGGGGCTGCTTTACGATGTGGGGACTTCAATTCCCAGAATTCCCAGGGAATTGAAGTCCACCTATCTTAAAGCAGGCTGGCTGAGGAATTCTGGGAGTTGAAGTCCACCCATCCTTAAACTGACTAGGAAATTCTCAGACTGGAAGGCCGTCCATTTTAAAGTAGGCTGGCTGAGGAATTCTGGGAGTTGAAGTCCACCCATCTTAAACTGACTAGGGAATTCTCAGACTGGAAGGCCGTCCATTTTAAAGTAGGCTGGCTGAGGAATTCTGGGAGTTGAAGTCCACCCATCTTAAACTGACTAGGAAATTCTCAGACTGGAAGGCCGTCCATTTTAAAGCAGGCTGGCTGAGGAATTCTGGGAGTTGAAGTCCACCCATCTTAAACTGACTAGGGAATTCTCAGACTGGAAGCCGTCCATTTTAAAGCAGGCTGGCTGAGGAATTCTGGGAGTTGAAGTTCATACTTCTTCAAACATGAAGGCTGGGGAATTCTGGGAGTTGAAGTCCACCCATCTTAAATCAAACTGACTAAGGAATTCTCAGACTTGAAGGCCGTCCATTTTTAAAGCAGGCTGGCTGAGGAATTCTGGGAGTTGAAGTCCATCCATGTTAGTGCAGGCTGGCTGAGGAATTCTGGGAGTTGAAGTCCACCCATCTTAAATCAAACTAGGGAAACTAGGGACTAGGGAATTCTCGGACTTGAAGCCTGTCCATTTTTAAAGCAGGCTGGCTGAGGAATTCTGGGAGTTGAAGTTCCATACTTCTTCAAACATGAAGGCTGGGGATTCTGGGAGTTGAAGTCCACCCATCTTAAATTAAACTGACTAGGGAATCCTTGGACTTGAAGGCCATCCTTTTAAAGCAGGCTGGCTGAGGAATTCTGGGAGTTGAAGTTCATATTTCTTCAAACATGAAGGCTGGGGAATTCTGGGAATTGAAGTCCACCCATCTTAAATCAAACTGACTAGGGAATCCTCAGACTTGAAGGCCGTCCATCTTAAATCAAACTGACTAGAGAATTCTCAGACTTGAAGGCCGTCCATTTTAAAGCAGGCTGGCTGAGGAATTCTGGGAGTTGAAGTTCATACTTCAAACATGAAGGCTGGGGAATTCTGGGAGTTGAAGTCCATCCATCTTAAATCAAACTGACTAGGGAATCCTCAGACTTGAAGTCCACCCATCTTAAAGCAGACTGGCTGGGGAATTCTGGGAGTTGGAGTCCGTCCATCTCCTAGTGGCCTAGTTTGAGAACCAACTGCTCCGAGGAGCGGCCTGGTGACTTGTAAGGGGGAACCGCCAGCCTTTCCCGAGCGAGCCACAACCTCACACCACGAGGGCTTTGGGTCGTGCCGCATCCCAAGGGGCTCCCCAGTATGGAGGATGGGTTATTTTCCTCTTGGAAAATGGAGGTCCAGGCTGTTGTGGAGTCCCGGCCCCAGGCGAAGGTCAATAGCGAGGTGGGGCGGCCTATAAATCGAAATAAATCCAGATTCTCATGCTGATCGACTTCTTCTTGTTTTCCCCCCCGCTGTTTAGCGAGCCAGGATTACTATCAGCAATGGAGCATCGACGACAGCCAGACCTGCACTCTGGATATGTCCACCTACACCATCGAGGAACTGGAGAACATCACGTCCGAATACACCCTGAAAAACCCCGTGAGTCTGGCTGCCTTGAGCTTCCTTCCCCGAGGACAGGCAGTCCTCGCTTAGTGACCGTTCCAAGTTTGCAACGACGCCGAAAAAAAAAAGCCACCCGGGACCATGTTTTTTGTCGCACTTAATGACCGTTTGCAGCGTGGTCACGTGATGACAAAAAAAATCAGACTCTGGGCAAACTTGACTCCTATTTATGATGGTTGCAGCGTCCGTCCGTTCTCCCCCGTCCCCCTCGGGATCACTTGATCCCCTTTTGCGACCCGACTTGACAAGCCAAGTCAGTAGGGAAGCCAGATTCGCTTAACGACTGTGTTACCCGCTTAATGACCACAATAAAAAAAAGGTGGTAAAATCAGGAGCCCTTCACTTAACGACACATCCCTTGAGTGACTAGAAGTTGCGGTCTCCAAACTTGGCAACTTTAAGACTTCTGGACTACAATTCCCAGAATTCCTCAGGCTGGCTGAGTGAGGAATTCTGGGAATTGAAGTCCAGAAGTCTTAAAGTGGCCAAATTTGGAGACCCCTGGACTAGAAGTTGTCCTAATTTTGGCCGTAAATCAAGGACCCTCTGAGGTAAAACGTCCTCTGAAAACTCTTCACCGAACCTCTCACAAGGCAGTTTAAATAGCATTGCTTATTCCGGCTATATTCTGTCTACCATCATCTTTAATTGAGAGTTGGTGTTAGTGTCACAATAAAAGTTGTGAGTCCAAAACTGAGGGAGATCCTTCCACTCACAGCAGGATGCTGTTGGGTCAATCTAGATATCCCCCCAAGTTTGTTGCAGGCACAACATGAAGGATTTCTTCCTCTTGAGGGCAACTCTTGATGGTTTGCCATTGCTATGTTCTCAGATATCAGGACTAAGGCATGGGCTTTGGGGTTGATGGGTCTGATTTCGTGGCCTCTAAATATGCTGGACTCCAGTCCCATCCTCCCCAACCAGCCTTAGACTCTGCCAGGAACTGTTCAGCCTGACTCCCCACTCCCATGTTTCTGGGCCCAGAATAACTTCTAGAGCAGGCCTTGGTCACTTTGGGAATTATGGACTTCAACTCCCAGAATTCCCCAGCCAGCTTCCCCCCCTCCCCACTTTGCTGAAGTCAAGATATATTACGTTTACTGCATACCCACCATCTATTAAGAAAATTATCCCCTCTGGCTGGCTGAGGAATTCTGGGAGTTGAAGTCCACAAGTTGTAAAGTTACCCAAGGTTGGAGACCCCTGATTTAAGACTTGTGGACTTCAACTCCCAGAATTCCCCAGTCAGGTCTTTCGTTTCACTTTGCCGAAGTCAAGATATATTACGTTTACTGCATACCCACCATCTGTGAAGAAAGTTACCCTATGTGGCTGGCTGGGGAATTCTGGGAGTTGAAGTCCGCAAGTCGTAAAGTTACCCAAAGTTTGGAAGCCCCTGTTTTAGGGAGCGTCTTCCATAGCTCAACCCCTTCCTGTTTTCTTCCGGTTTGCCAAAAAAAGGACACCTTCACAGTCGCCGTGTCCTTCACCACGGGGAAAATCCTTTACATCTCCGACCAGGCGGCCTTCATCCTGCGCTGCAAGAGAGAGGTCTTCAAGGGGGCGAAGTTTGCCGAGTTTTTGGCTCCCCAAGACGTCAGCATCTTCTACGGCTCCACAGCTCCGTACCACCTGCCTTCCTGGGGCGCCTGCCCCTCTGCCAGTAAGTGGGCGATCGCTCGCGAGCTTGTGAGGGGGGGAGGGGACTCTTGAAGTCCACCAATCTTTGAACCATTGCTATCGAGACGATCCTGGTGGCAGGAGGGATGATAACGGCTGTCCTTTGATGGGTATCCAAGACCTCTAGGAGAGTTGGACTAGCGGTTAAGGCACCAGGTTAGGAAGGAAGAAACTGGGAATTCTAGTTCCGCTGTAGCTGTGAAAGCCATCTTTGGTTGACTTTGGGCCAGTCACCAGGGGATCGTGAGTTCTAGTCCCACCCTAGGCATGCAAACTGGCTGGGTGACTTTGGGCCCATCACCAGGAGACTGGGAGTTCTAGTTCCACCTTAGTCATGAAAGCCAGCTAGGTGACTTTGGGCCCATCACCAGGAGATGGTGAGTTCTAGTCCTATTTTAGGCATGAAAGGCATCTGGGTGACTTTGGGCCCATCATCAGGAGACAGTGAGTTCTAATCCTGTCTTAGGCATGAAAGGCAGCTGGGTGAATTTGGGCCAATCACTCTCTTTTAGCCCAACCTACCTCACAGGGTTGTTGTAAGAAAAATAGGAGGCAGCAATATTAGCTATATTGGTTGTCTTTGAGTTATTAAAATATAGGTAGCCCTCACCTTACAACACTTTGTTTAGTGATTGTGCAGAGTTACAACGGCATTGAAAAAAGCGACTTATGACCGTTTTTCACACTTAACGACCGTTGGGGCATTCCCCACGGTCTTGTGATCCAAATTCGGCCGCTTGGCAACAGACTGCTATTTATGACGGTTTGCAGTGCCCCGGGGGTCACGCAATCCCCCTTTTGGTGACCTTTTGACAAGCCAGATTCACTTAACAACCTGTCCTGCTAACTTGACAGGTCATAAAACGGGGCAAAAGTCACTTCACAAACGTCTCCCTTAGTTAGCAATTGGGCTCAATCGTGGTCGTAATTCGAGGACTATCTGTAATAAAGGCAATGTTTTAAAACGAAAATGTTTTAAAATCCCAGTTGCTTTGGACGTTTAAAGCTCTTTGCCTTTAATGCTGTTCGTCGGACGAGACCGGAGGCCCGAGCGAGGAATTCGGGAAAAAAAGCCTCCATTTTTTCCAATTTCTCAGGCCAAAGGGTGTTGACCGCTGGCCGCAATTTTCTTTCTCCCTTTCTCAAACTACAGCCGCCATGGATTACACCCAAGAGAAATCCGTCTTCTGCCGCATCAGGTGAGTTGCGTCGCCCCGGGGCTGGATTAGAACTCGGCTCTTCGGGCTGAAAATTCCTCCCTCACCTTCTTTCGCATCCAAAGCCCGGCCTGGCCTTAAAAAGAGCCTCATTAACGGTCCGACTAACCGGATGGACGAAAAGACTTAGAAAGAGATCCCGGAATCCCCCTGGGGAGAGGGAGATCTCTGTGGGGAGAAGGTGGACCCCCCCCTCCCCGGGAGGTGGGAGGAAAGATGGCGGAGGGGCTGGACATCCCCCCCTCCCCTCTTGCTCTGCCGCTCGTCCTGGTCTCCCTTGGCCTTTGGTCTTATTGCAGGCGTTTGTTTCTCAGCGGAGCCCACGCTGGAGGACGGGAGCTGCGCTATTACCCTTTCCGGCTGACCCCTTACCTGACCAAGGTGCGGGATTCGGACAGCGCCGAGGGGCAGCCCTGTTGCCTGCTTATCGCCGAGCGCATCCATTCGGGCTAACGAAGGTAAGAGCCTGGGGGGAGTCCAGGGATGGCCTGGCTGGGCTCTCTTCCCCTTTTCCTGGGAAATCTCATTTTACTATTTGGGAGCAACCCCTCCGGATCTTACGAGAAGCAGTTGGGTATCGGATCTCTCGGAGGAATTTTTAAGAGGCTTTGCCTGGTTCTGAAACTTTTAAATCAGCTGGAGCTACAAGATCGTCCGTCGTACCGTCGCGACGTCAGCTCCGCCTCCTCTAAAGATCTCTCTCGTTTTCAATTTTGAACTGCTTTCCTGTGGATTTTTTTTTTTTTTTTTACCGCCACTCAGAGGTGCCTTATGGGGTGATGGACGGGGTGCAGAAGGAAGAAGGAGGGGAACAAACAGGATGGAATGATAACGGGAGGGAGCGAGGCAAGGAAGGGGGGAAGAAAGAAAAGAAAGAAAAACAGGATGATAATGAAGAGGGTGGGAAGAGAGGGAGGGAGGACGGAAGGAAGGAAGGTGAAGGGGAGAATGGGAGGGAGGAAAGGAAGGAAGGAAAAGAGGAGTGAGCAAAGAAAGAGAAGGAAGGAAGGAGAAGGGGAGAGAGGAGAGGAAGGAAGGAAAAAGGAGTGAGCGAAGAAAGAAGAAGGAAGGAAGGGAGAGGAAGAAGGAAAAGAAGGAAGAGGAGAAGTGAAGAAGGAAGGTGAAGGGGAGAAATGAGAGGGAGGAAAGGAAGGAAGGAAAAAGAGGGAGTGAGCGAAGAAAGGAAGGAAGGAGAAGGGGGAGAGGAAGGAAAGAAAAAAGGGAGTGAGCCAAGAAAGAGAAGGAAGGAAGGAAAAGGAGAGAGGAGAGGAAGGAAGGAAAAAAGGGAGTGAGCCAAGAAAGAGAAGGAAGGAGAGAAGGGGAGGAAGAGGAAGAGGAAGGAAGGAAAAGAGGGAGTGAGCGAAGAAAGAAGGAAGGAGGAGAGGAGGAAAAGAAGGAAGGAGAGAAGGAGAAAAAAAGAAGAAGTGAAGGAAGGAAGTAGAAGGGGAGAATGGGAGGGAGGAAGGAAAAAGAGGGAGTGAGCCAAGAAAGAGAAGGAAGGAAGGAGAAGGGGAGAGAGGAGAGGAAAAGAAGGAGAGAGGGAATGAAGGGAGGAAGTAGAAGGGGAGAATGGGAGGGAGGAAAAGAGGAAGGAATGAAAAGAGGGAGTGAGCGAAGAAGGAAGGAAGGAAGGAAGGAAAGAGAAGGGGGAACTTCAAAACTCTCAAAAGACTTTTGCAAATGAAAAATGTGTGTGTGCCCGGAGCGAATTGTCTTCATTTGTGCCTTCGATTTTTTTTGACTTCCAGCCCCCAGGATTCCTCCCGATAAACGCATCTTCACCACCAGACACACCCCCAGCTGCTTGTTTCAGGACGTGGATGAGCGGTAAGGACCTGGGGGGGGGGTCCCTGGTAGTGGCGGTCGGGGGTCCCTGGGGGTCCCTGATTCAAGTCGCCTGATAGAAAAGGAGGAGTTTGGGGTGAGTTACCTTGGGGTGGGGGGCTGGGTCTCCCTTTTGCTAGTTTTAGGATTTAGATAGCCCTCAAATTACGAATGGTCGCTTATTACTTTGGTCTAGTGGTTAAGGCATCAGACAAAAAAAAAAACCTAGGAGACCGGGAGTTCTAGTCCCCTCTTAGACATTAAAAGCCAGCTGGGTGACTTGGGCCAATCACCAGGAGACTGAGACTTCTAGGCCCGCCTCGGGCACAAAGCCAGCTGAGTGACTTTGGGCCAATCACCAGGAGACCGGGAGTTCTAGTCCAGCCTTAGGCATTAAAAGCCAGTTGGGTGACTGGCCAATCACTAGGAGACTTGAGAGTTCTAGTCCCGCCTTAGGCATTAAAAGCCAGCTGGGTGACTTTGAGCCAATCACCAGGAGACTGAAAGTTCTAGTCCCGCTTTAGGCATGAAAGCCAGCTGGGTGACTTTGGGCCAATCACCAGGAGACCGGAGTTCTAGTCCCGCCTAGGCATTAAAAGCCAGTTGGGTGACTGGCCAATCACTAGGAGACTTGGAGTTCTAGTCCCGCCTTAGGCATTAAAAGCCAGCTGGGTGACTTTGAGCCAATCACCAGGAGACTGAAAGTTCTAGTCCCGCTTTAGGCATTAAAGCCCAGCTGGGTGACTTTGGGCCAATCACCAGGAGACCGGGAGTTCTAGTCCACCTTAGGCATTAAAAGCCAGCTGAGTGACTTTGGCCAATCACCAGGAGACTGAAAGTTCTAGTCCCGCTTTAGGCATGAAAGCCAGCTGGGTGACTTTGGGCCAATCACCAGGAGACCGGGAGTTCTAGTCCACCTTAGGCATTAAAAGCCAGCTGAGTGACTTTGGGCCAATCACCAGGAGACCGAAAGTTCTAGTCCCGCCTTAGGCATCAAAGCCAGCTGAGTGACTTTGGGCCAATCACCAGGAGACCGGGAGTTCTAGTCCAGCCTTAGGCATTAAAAGCCAGCTGGGTGACTGAGCCAATCACCAGGAGACTGAAAGTTCTAGTCCCGCTTTAGGCATGAAAGCCAGCTGGGTGACTTTGGGCCAATCACCAGGAGACCGGGAGTTCTAGTCCCGTTTTAGTCATTAAAACCCACCTGGGTGACTTTGGGCCAATCACTAGGAGACTGGGAGTTCTAGTCCCGCTTTAGGCATGAAAGCCAGCTGAGTGACTTTGGCCAATCACCAGGAGACCGGGAGTTCTAGTCCCGTCTTAGTCATTAAAAGCCACCTGGGTGACTTTGGGCCAATCACCAGGAGACAGGGAGTTCTAGTCCCGCCTTAGGCATTAAAAGCCAGCTGGGTGACTTTGGACCAATCACCAGGAGACAGGGAGTTCTAGTCCTGCCTTAGGCATTAAAAGCCACCTGGGTGACTTTGGGCCAATCACCAGGAGACCGGGAGTTCTAGTCCCGCCTTAGGCATTAAAGGCCAGCTGAGTGACTTTGGGCCAATCACCAGGAGACCGGAGTTTCTAGTCCCGCCTTAGGCATTAAAAGCCAGCTGGGTGACTTTGGCCAATCACCAGGAGACTGAGACTTCTAGTCCCCCTTAGGCATTAAAAGCCAGCTGAGTGACTTTGGGCCAATCACCAGGAGACTGGGACTTCTAGTCCACCTTAGGCATTAAAAGCCAGCTGAGTGACTTTGGGCCAATCACCAGGAGACCGGGAGTTCTAGTCCTGCCTTAGGCATTAAAAGCCAGCTGAGTGACTTTGGCCAATCACCAGGAGACCGGAGAGTTCTAGTCCCGCCTTAGGCATTAAAAGCCAGCTGAGTGACTTTGGGCCAATCACCAGGAGACTGGGAGTTCTAGTCCCGCCTTAGGCATTAAAAGCCAGCTGAGTGACTTTGGGCCAATCACCAGGAGACTGGGAGTTCTAGTCCCGCCTTAGGCATTAAAAGCCAGCTGGGTGACTTTGGCCAATCACCAGGAGACTGAGAGCTAGGCCCGCCTTAGGCATTAAAAGCCAGCTGAGTGACTTTGGGCCAATCACCAGGAGACTAAAGTTCTAGTCCCGCCTTAGGCATGAAAGCCAGCTGGGTGACTTTGGGCCAATCACCAGGAGACCGAGAGTTCTAGTCCCGCCTTAGGCATTAAAAGCCAGCTGAGTGACTTTGGGCCAATCACCAGGAGACTGAAAGTTCTAGTCCCGCCTTAGGCATTAAAAGCCAGCTGGGTGACTTTGGGCCATTCACTCGCATACCGACCAGCCCTCCTGACAGTTGCCTCTTCTCTCGTTCTCAGAGCTGCCCCCCTGCTTGGCTACCTCCCCCAAGACTTGGTTGGGACCCCTGTCCTTTTCTACTTGCACCCTGAGGACCGGCCTCTTATGCTGGCCATACACAAGAAAAGTAAGTATAAAGTGAAGCCAGCGCAGTGAGCAAGGCTGGTATTTTAATTTTAATATTTAATTACCGACAGTCCTTGAGTTACAACTGTTTGTTTAGCTAGTGTTCAGAGTTAGAGAATGATACTATGAGGGGAAAAAAAAAATTCGACTTATGATCGGTCCTTGCATTTATGACCGGTCCTCGTGGTTACGACCATTGTGCCATTCCCCCACAGTCATTAGGCTCTTAGCCACTGGTGTGGTCGTCACAACAATCTCTGACGGCCATTTATAACCTCCCCGGCCGGCAAAATGATAAGGGAAGCTGGATTCGCTTAACGACTGCTTGATTCACTTAACGGCAAAAAAAAAAGGTTAGAAGATCAGGTGTGATTCACTCAATGACCACTTTGGAAATTCCAGATGGAGTTAAGGGTTGTAATTTGAGGATGAGCTGTACTAGGCAAATGAAGGGAAGTCCGGGCTAGTGGTCGCTGATCCTGACACCCCCCTCTTCTTCCTCCCCTCTCCTTTTCCAGTCCTGCAGTACGCTGGGCAGCCGTTCGACCACTCGCCCATCCGCTTTTGCGCCCGCAACGGCGAATACGTCACCATTGACACCAGCTGGTCCAGCTTCGTCAATCCTTGGAGTCGCAAAGTCTCGTTTATCATGGGCAGGCATAAAGTGCGGACGTAAGTGCGTGACCCGCTTTTGGGGGGGCGGCGTCGTGGGAGTTCGGACGGGGCGGATGGGTGGGTAATCTTCATCGGGGTGAAGCACCGGGGCGGACATCCGTTGAAGAGAGCGGGAGAGGGAGGGCCTCCGGGAGAGTGGGAGGAGCTTCGCTGGGGAGGGGGAGATGAGGGGGCGGGGCATATCGTGTGGGGTGGGGAGGAGAGGGTTAGTTGACTTCCAAGATGGGGCCAGAGAAGGTCGTCTGGATGGCTGCAGAGTCGGACTTCTTTCTCAAGCTTGGCCGGATTGAAGATGGGTGGACTTCAACTCCCAGGATTCCCCCAGCCAGCGTTGTATGCTGGTTGGGGAATTCTGGGAGTTGAAGTCCGCCCCTCTTAAAGGATGGTGGATGGGTGGAGCAAGGACAAAGGAAGGGGAAGATGGGGTGGAGAGGAAAGGAAAGGAGGAGAGAGAGGGCCCAACATCCTAACAGGAAGCGGAAAGTGGGTGGGGCTTCCGGAGTGGGGTGCGTGAGATGGGCTCCTTCTCATATCCTCTCTTGTTGACCTCAGGGGTCCCCTCAACGAGGATGTCTTCACCGCCCCCAAAGTCTTGAAGTCCAAGGCCCTGGATGTGGACATTCAGGAGCTCTCCGAGCAGATTCACCGGCTGCTGCTGCAGGTAAGCCCTCCCCTCCTTCTGTACTTCCTTCCTTCCTCCCTCTTCCACCCTTCTGCCTCCTTCCTTCCTCCTTCCCTCTTTCTTTCTTTCTTTCTTTCTTTCTTTCTTTCTTTCTTTCTTTCTTTCTTTCTTTCTTTCTTCCCCTTTCTTTCTTTTTTTCTCTTTCTTTTTCCTTCTTTCTTTCTCTGTTTCTCTCTTTCTTTCTCCTCCCTCCTTCCTTCCTTCCTTCTGTTCCTTTATTTCCTTTTCTCTTCCTCTCTCCTTCCTTCCTCCTCCCTTCCTCTTCCACCCTTCTGCTTCCTTCCTCCTTCCCTTCTTTCTTTCTTTTTCTTTTTTCCTATCTTCCTCCTTTCTTTTCTCTCTCATTTTCTTTCCTCTCTCTCCCGTCCTTCCTTCCTCCTTTCCCCTTTCTTTCTTTTCTTTCTTTCTTTCTTTCTTTCTTTCTTTCTTTCTTTTTTCTCTCTTTTTCTTTCTCTTTCTCTTTTTTCTTTCTCTCCTGCCTCCCTCCCTCCTTTCCTTTTCTCCCTCCCTCCCTCCTTCCTTCCCTTCTGTTCCTTTATTTCCTTCTTCTCTTCCTCTCTCCTTCCTTCCTCCCTCCCTTCCTCTTCTACCCTTCTGTTTCCTTCCTTTCTCCGTCTTTTTTTCTTTCTTTCTTTCTTTCTTTCTTTCTTTCTTTCTTTCTTTCTCTCTCTCTCTCTCTCTCTCTCTCTCTCTCTTTCTCTTTTTCTTTTTCTTTTTCTCTCTTTCTTTATTTCTCTTTCTTTCCTTCACTCTCCTTCCTTCCTTCCTTCTCTTCTCCGTCCCTCCCTCCCTGCCGCCTCCTTACCTCCCTTTTCTCCCTCCCACCGGCTCTAACTCTCCTCCTGTCTCCCTGGGCAGCCTGTGCACAGCAGTGGAGCCCTGGGCCTTTGCAGCAACTCGGCCTCCCACGAGCAGTTCCTGAGCATCGCCTCTTCCAGCGACAGCAACGGCTTCCCCCCAGAGGAGGCCAAGCCTCTCCGACCGGTAAGCGCAGGGGTCCTATCTCTGGGTAGCGGGAGGTCTGCCCAGGGGGCTTTGTCTCCCGTGCTCCTTTGAGAGGGCATTGGTCAAGCGAAAGGAACTCGAAAGTGGCCCCTCTTAGTCCTAGCTCCCCTCCGCCCAACGTGGGGCACTCCCGAAAGAGCCCATCCCGCAAAATATAGAACATGTTTGAGGACTGCCGGATGGCGGTGTGGTGATGGTAGGGGGATGTCTAGCCTGTCCCATTGGAGGAGAGACTCTGGGGGAATAGGGGCTGTTCTGACTCCGCCTCCCTCTGGATCCCAGATGACCTTCCAGGAGATCTGCAAGGATGTCCATATGGTCAAGAACCAAGGCCAGCAGGTCTTCATCGAGTCCCGGGTCAAGCCGCTGCCCATCAAGCCTCCTCGGCCAGGTAAGGAGAGGGCCGCTAATCTCCTCCTCCTCCTCCTCATTCTCCTCCTCTTCCTCCTCCATCCCTCCTTCTTGCCCTTTTCTTTCTTCTCCAGTTTCACCATCACTTCTCCTCTTCCTTCTTCCCCTTTCTTCCTTCCTCCTTCCCTTCTTCTTCTCTTCCTCCTCCCCGTCCTCCTTCTTGCCCTTTTCTTCTGCTTTACCATGCCCTTCTTCTTCCCCTTCTTCCTCCTTTTCCATCCTCCTCCTCCATCCCTTCTTCTCCTCCCTCTTCTCCTCCTTGCCCTTTTCTTCTCCTGCTTCACCATTCTTCTCCTTCTCCTTTCCCTTCTTCCTCCTTTTTCTCTTCTCCATCCCTTCTTCTCTTCCCCCTCCTCTTCCTTGCCCTTTTCTTCTCCTGCTTCACCTTCCCTTCTTCTTCCTCCTCCTCCTTTTTCCCCTCCTCCTCCATCCCTTCTTCTCCTTCTCCTCCTCCTTGCCCTTTTCTTCTCCTGCTTCACCTTCCCTTCTTCCTCCTCCTTTTTCCCCTCCTCCTCCATCCCTTCTTCTCCTTCCCCTCCTCCTCCTTCCCCTTTTCTTCTCCTGCTTCACCTTCCCTTCTTCTTCCTCCTCCTTTTTCCCCTCCTCCTCCATCACTTCTTCTCCTTCCCCTCCTCTTCTTCCTGCTCGCCCCTTTTCTTTCTTCTCCTTGCTTCACCATCCCTTCTTCCTCCCACCTCCCGTCCTCCTCCCCGCCCATTGTACACACAAATCCATGAGCCACTGTGGTGCCTTTCATCCTGTTTTTTGTTTTTTTTTGCAAAATCCCCCTGGGGTTTTCCTCCACCTGCCTTGCGGTCTGGGAAAGCCTCTTCCCTTCCCTGCTTAAGGTTTCTCTTCCTCCCTGCCTTCCTTTTCTAGCTATGAATCCACCTGTCAGTCACATCGGGCGATCCAAGGAGGCCTTGAGGGACGCGGAGAAGAGGTCGCACAAGGCGACCACCTCCGAGGATTCTCTGCGGAAGGAGCCTTCCAACTACTCCTATCAGCAGATCAACTGCCTGGATGGAATTATCCGGTAAGAATTTGGCCGGTGCGCTCATTTGGGGCAGGATATTTTGCTGTCAATCGTTTGGAAATCTCCCTGAGATTCCTCCTCCCCTCTCCTCACCTGCTCCTTCCTATCTCCGACCTAGCCAGGTGCTCAATTTCTGTCCGCCCCTTTTTGGAGAAAAGGACAGCCCAGCCCTGAGTTCTCTATTTGATAGAATAGAATAGAATTCTTTATTGGCCAAGTGCGATTGGACACACGAGGAATTTGTCTGACTCGTTTAGCAATTTGTGCAGGAGAAAGTATCCGAGGGTGGGGATGGAGTCAAAAGAGGAATCGGCCTAGAATTCCTACATAGCCACAAGCGAGCTAAGTCCAACCTTCCTTGAATTCTCTGGACCCTTAGCTAAAGCCCTAGCAGGTGCTAACCATTAATTGAAAAGATTCCCGCGCAGAGGCTTTCAGCAATAAAGCAGTTTAGTTGGAAGATTCCCGCGGAGAGGCTTTCAGCAATAAAGCAATTTAGTTAGAAGATTCCCGCGCAGAGGCTTTCAGCAATAAAGCAGTTTAGTTGGAAGATTCCCGTGCAGAGGCTTTCAGCAATAAAGCAATTTAGTTAGAAGATTCCCACGCAGAGGCTTTCAGCAATAAAGTAGTTTAGTTAGAAGATTCCTGTGCAGAGGCTTTCAGCAATAAAGCAATTTAGTTAGAAGATTCCTGTGCAGAGGCTTTCAGCAATAAAGCAGTTTAATCGGTCCGTCACTTGTGCACCTAGTCTTCTGCACCTTTGCTGCCTTTTCAAATCTCCCCCCCACTCCTTCCCTCCCTACAGATATTTGGAAAGCTGTAACATCCCCAGCCGGGTGAAACGCAAGTGCGGTTCGTCCTCCTACACCACCTCCTCCAATTCGGACGACGACAAGCAGAAAGTGCACCAACAGGTGGCAGTGCAGAGCAAAGGTGGGTCTCTTTCCCTCCTCGCCTCTCTCTCCCTTCCCCCCCGTCTTTCCGGGCTTCTCCGTGATCCGGCTCCGGAACCCCAAAAGCTTCCTCTCCCTGATCCTCCGCTACTGTTTCCTATTCCTTCGTTCGTGGTTTTGCTGCCTGTCCTGCCTGGGGTCCTCAGAGCTGCTGGTGGCCTCCTCGGAAGAGGGGTTGTCAGGGTTCTCCATGGTCTCCCCATGGTACTGGGGGGGGGGGGGGGGGGCTCTTTCCGGCCGCCCCTGTGGCTCGACCGAGGTTTTGCCATTCTCAGGTCTGTCCGTCCGTCCGTCCTGCTGTTCGGCACGTCTCAGGAACCCTGGGACTCCCCCCCACCCTTGCCTCGAGTTCTAATCCAGCCCTCTCTTTGGACAGATGTGCCCGAGGAGAGGCTGCCGGCCACCGGGAGCCAGCCCAAGAGGAAAGAACCCGGAGTGGCGGCGTCTGCCGCCGCCGTGGTGGGAGGCCCTCTCGCTCCGTTGGCCTTGCCTACTAGCAAAGCCGAGAGCGTGGTGTCCGTGACCAGTCAGTGCAGCTTCAGCAGTACCATCGTCCACGTGGGAGACAAGAAGCCCCCGGAGTCGGGTAGGGGAGGTGGTCCACCCACCTTTTTTGAGAACCTCCAGACCGGGGTAGGGTGGGGGTGGGGGTGGGGTGGGACGATGCGGCGGCCGGGGGGGGGGGGGGGGGGGAAGGGAGACGTGCCGGGAAGGTGGTAGAGACACAGCTTGATGGGGGGAGGGGGGGGGGGGAACGCAGCTCAATGGAGGGAGTGGGGGTCTTCATGAGAAATGGGGGCATTTTGTGCCCCCCCGCGGGCCACATCGGGCCCTTTGGACTTCCCTGTCCGGCCCGCGAGAGGTAAATTAGGAATCAAACGTTAAATTACCGTGTTTCTCCGAAAATAAGACCTCCCCGAAAATATTTAAACGGATGTGCAGGCGGTCCCCGCCATTTCCTCTGGTTACGGTTAGGGAGACAGAGCTGGAAATCAGGTAAGACGGCAAGAGGAGCCCCGTCTTGCTCCACGCGCCCCAAAATAATAAAACCTCCCTGAAAATAAGGCCAAGCGCTTATTTCAGGGTTCAAAAAAATAATATAAGACAGGGTCTTATTTTCGGGGAAAACACGGTACCTCTAATGTAATCTTCGGTTTACGAGCCCATTGGAGCCCCTAATTTCCCGTTGCTAAGAAGGAGAATTAAGTGAGCTTTGTCCCATCTTACGACCTTCCTTGTTGTTGTCGTTAAGTGAATCACTTGCCGTTGCTAAGTTCGTGCGGGCAAGCCCCCGTCTTGCAACAGTGTGCTTAGCGATGATTCTTTAAATCCAAGATAGTTTTTGAACGGGGAAAACGTGTCCACGGACTCCTCGCCTTACGACCGTTCGCTTAGGACCGTCCCGAGTGACGACGGCACTGAAAAAAAACAAACGTCTTGGGATCGTTTTTTCCCACACTCACGACCCTTGCGCCATTCCCCCTCTGGTCACGTGATCAAAATTCAGACGCTCGCCCCCTGACTCGTACTTACGTCCGGAGTCTCCTCCATTCCCTTTTGCGACCTTCCGAACGGCAACGCACTGAACAACCGTAGCGAGGAAGGTCGTAAAACGGGAGGAGGGGAGGGAAATTCCACGTTTCGCTTAGCAACGGACGTTTGGGGCTGAAGGGCGGTCGTAAGTCGAGGAATAGCTTATTGAAGGTGTAAATAGGGAAGATGGGAAGCCACGGATGGACTGACCTTTGCTTTCCTTCTTTTGGTGTCTCCTCTTCCTCTTCCTCCCCACAATTTTCCCCTCCTCAGACATCGTCATGATGGAAGAGACGGCGCCCAGCGCCACTCCGCCCGCCCCTCCGCCCTGCGTGACCCCCGACCGGGAGCCGCAGTACCGCCGGGTGGGCCTGACCAAGGAGGTGCTGTCCATCCACACCCAGAAGGAGGAACACTCCTTCCTCACCCGCTTCAAGGACCTCAGCCAGCTGCACGTCTTCAACTCTCCCTCCAGGCTCAGCTGGCAGGAGCTCCACCATCCCCGGGCCCAGGACCAGCGAGGTGAGAGGCGGGGCAGGGAGACGACGGGGTGGATCCTCCTCTCTCTTCTCTTTTCTCTCCCTCTCCCCCCTCTTCTCTTCCTCCTTCCTTCCTCCTCCTCCTCCTCCGCTAAACCCACTCCTTTGTAGCACTGATGGTGTTCCTTAGTTGGGTCACGAAACATCTGTAAAAAACCGACTAAGCTCAGAGAGCACCAAGGACCCTACCGTCCTCCTCTTCCTCCTGTCCACACACCCCGTTCCCTTCCAGCACTGATGACGTTACCTAGTTGGGTCACCAAAAGTGCAAGAAATAACTTGCCTTGATCAGTTGCCTTGTTTTAGCCTTTTTAAGATTGGCCTGAACGATCGAATCATCATTTAGTCTCCTCCTTATTCCTTCCTCTTTCTCTTCTTCCTCCCTGCTTCTCTTACTCCTTCCTTCCTTCTTTCCTCCTTCCTCTTCCTCTTCTTTCTTGCTTCTCCTCCTCCTCCCGCCTCTTCATATTCTCTCCTCTTTTGCTTCCCCAGGACTCCGAGGCCTGCGCCAGGGACCTCGCGGCCCAAACGGCCGGGGACGCAGCCGGAAGTCCAAAGCCAAACGCATCCGGCAGAACAAATCGTCGGACAGCACCAGCTCCCCCCAGAACTCTATTGGCTCGCCCCCGCAACTGCCCTGTCCCCCAGCCGCCGCCTCCTGGGCCCCCTCTGGCCCTTCCCCGCCCACCCTCCCAAACATGTCCTACCCAACCGTAATGCCCACGTACCCCATCCCCGTCTTTCCCCCTCGCCCCCCAGCGTCCCTGGCCACCGAGCCTTCCCACAACCCCTTGCCTGCCCCTCAGTTCCCCGCCCCCCTCATGACCCCCATGGTGGCCCTTGTCTTGCCCAATTACGTCTTCCCCCAGATCAACAACCCCCTTCCCCAGACGTATTTTCCCGGGGGTCCCGTTTTCCCCTTTGGACCCCCGCAGGCGGGCAGCACGACGCTGGCTCCCGGGCCCGAAGCCGGCCTTCAAATGCCTTCCCAGTCTTCCACCCCCCACTCGATGAGCCAGCCCGAGTGCGCTGAATCCCCGCTCTTTGAGTCGCGCTGCAGCTCCCCGTTGCAGCTGAACCTCCTCCAGATGGAAGAGCTGCCCAAGCCGAGCGACCGCCAAGAAAGCATCATGAGCGGTCAAGCGGGACCAGCCGGCACCTCTGCGGATTGGGTTGGAGTGACCGGCGGGCAGGGCCTGGGGAACGAACTCGGCCCGCCGAAGGAAGTCTGCATGGTAAGCAGCCCCGAGGGCTTCTCCGTCCCTCAAGTTCAGATCTTTGATCATTTGGTGCGGGAGGGGGGGAAGGCGCCGATTGGCAGCCACGGGATGTCCTGTCCTTCCTTTGCCCACCGAGATGCTTCCCTTCCTGGGCTCCGTTTTCGGCCACGACGGCCTCCTGCAGCCCTCTGCTAGTGATAAAGGAGTTCCGGGAAGCTGTACGCGGCCCTCCCGGCCTCCGTTTTCGCTGGCAGAGGCACCATGGGGCTGTCCTTTTGTTGTTTCCAGTGCTGGTCCGCGGACCAGATATAAGCCCCCCCACGAGCCTTGAGTTTGACACCCCTGTTCTTGGAGTTGCATAGTCTAAATCCAGGACTTAACCTGATGAGATTCTTAACTGGAAAGTTTTGCTCTGCAGTGAGCTGGGTGAGAAGATCGAGGTTGCGATCAGAGCCGCAGGGAGGGTACAGCGGCCGTAGGAACAGGAGCGACTCCGGGGCTCCGGAGTTTGCCAGAGAGGAGCCTGCTCTTGGAGAGGATCCTAACCTTGGCCCATCTTTCCCTTCCAGGTGGAAGCTCACGATTCCTCCAACAACGACGCTTTGTCCAGTTCCAGTGAGCTCCTGGATCTCCTCCTTCAAGAAGATTCGCGCTCGGGCACCGGGTCAGCCGCCTCGGGCTCCATGGGCTCGGGTTCCAACGGGGAGAGCACGTCTGCCAGCGGGACCAGTAAGTCCAGCAACCGGGTTGCCTGAGAGAGGATCTGGGCGAACGGCTGACACTTCGCCATCAGCTGGGTTCCTTTTAGGAACCGGAAGTCCTGAGCTTTCCCTAGCAGGAAAGCCATGAAGATCATGGCTGAGGAGATTTTCACCAGCAGTTCCTCACTTACTGTATGCCTTTGTCCTGGTACAGGGAGGACTTACTGTTGTGGCCTGTCGGTCGCCAGCCCCTCCAGCAGCTGAATCAGAGTAGGAACAGGCGTGGGAGTCAGGATCAGCATCAAGGCAACCTGAGAGCTCAGAGGGGGAAGAGGGAATGGAGTTGGCAGAGAGAGAGAGAGGCGGAGGCTGGGCCATCTGTCAGCCCTCAGATGGAGAGTCAACAGCCTTCAGGTCTGGAGGTGGCTGATGAGGAAGAGGAGGAACAGCTGGGTCCAGTGCCTGATGCGTGGATGCGCAGAAGGCAGAGGAGAGGAGAGCAGTGGAAATCTATGAGCCGGTCCTTGGGACGGAAGAGCCACTGCTGCTAGTGAAGCCCCACCCTAACTCTGGGGATAAAAGGCAGGGGGCAGAGATGAATAGATGTGGCAGACAACTAACTATTCATCTTCCGGATGGACAGATGGACTTTTTAGCCTGCGTTGAGAGAGAAACTTTTTGCTGGGGCTGCTGGCGTTCGTAATGAAGGAATCTTTGAGTTAACTTCAGAGGGTTTGTCGTGTTTGGGGAGCGGGGTCAGAACACTTACCTGTATCCAACCAGCTTCCTCTTTTCCTCCCCCGCAGCCAGCAGCAAGAGTAGCAACACCAGCAAATACTTCGGCAGCATCGACTCATCTGAGAACGATTTACGGGCCAAGAAGCGATCCGAGGCGGAGGACAACGAACACTTCATGAAATACGTCCTCCAGGATCCCATCTGGGTGCTGATGGCTAACACCGACGATAAAATCATGATGACCTATCAGCTGCCTACCAGGTGAGTCCTTTCCCACTGCTGCTGGATCTCGGATCCGCTCGAGTCTCCTGGGATCAAGGTTTTTAGGATTCTCTGAGTGAAAGAAAACTGAAGCTTCTGTTCTCGTTATCGTTAAGGGGATGCTGGGGCGGGGGGCTTTTGTTTGCTTTCATTTTGGTTGGAGTTTGGGGACGGTTGCCACTTCTGACCCCATAGAGAGCAGGGGTGAAATGCTACCGGTTCGGACCGGTTCAAGCGATCCGATAGTAGAAAAAATGCTACGGGTTTGGGCGAACTGGTATTTCCAACGATCAGCTGTGATGCACGATTTATATTAGCTAGAATCGTCGGATTTCCTGCTTTCTAGCTGATCTAAATCGCGTGGCACAGCGGATTCCCCTCCCCTCGCTGTTCTACTTACTTTTGCAGACTTGGTTCCTTTTTTTTAGCACTGCGCATGTGCGCCTCAGGTGTGCATGTGCGCGTCGCACGTGCTCGGTAGCAGACTCACAGACCCCGGTGGCAGACTTCAGAGGATTTCACCACTGGTAGAGAGGGAGGTTGTCCGGAATTTCTGACCCACTTTTCTGCTGCTTCTCTTCTGCAGGGACATGGAGACTGTCCTGCAGGCGGATCGCGAGAAACTGAAGCAGATGCAGAAGCAGCAGCCCAGATTCACGGAAGAGCAGAAGAAGGAGCTGGCCGAGATGCATTCCTGGGTCCAGAAGGGGATCTTGCCCAAAGCCATTAACATCACGGTGAGGAGGCCACTGGCGGCGCCCGGGCGAGGGAGGGATGTCGGGGGCAACGAAGCGGGCACTGGAATAACAGAATCACAGAGTTGGAAGGGACCTCGGAGGTCTTCTAGTCCAACCCCCTGTTCGAGCAGGAGACTCTATACCATTCTGGACAAATGGTAGTCCAGGCGTCTCTTAAAAACCTTCAGCGATAGAGCAGCCATGATTTCTGGTGGCAAGCTGTTCCACTGGCGAATTGTCCTCCCTGTTAGGAAGTTTCTAAGTTGCTTTCCTCCTTGGTTAGTTTCCATCCATTGCTTCTTGTCCTGCCCTCAGGTGCTTTGGAGAATAGGGGGACCCCTCCTGTTCTTTGGGGCAGCCCCTCGAATACTGCAAGACTGCTATCATGTCTAGTCCTTCTCTTTATTAAATTAGACCAGGGGTCGGCAACCTTAAACACTCAAAGAGCCACTCAAGCCCTAACTGGAAGCCCCCCGTTCAATTCTGGAGCCAACCAGAAGTCTGGTTCCCCCCACCAAGGTGTCTCCTCCTAGCGCGGCATTCTTTTTCCTCTACCTATCCTAACTGAATGCCCTATCAATGGTGAAGCTGACTGGTGACAGGGAGCTGCAGCAGAGGGATGAAAGAGCCACATGCGGCTCCAGAGCCACAGGTTGCTGACTCCTGAACTAGATGTAAGATTTTAATTGGTCTTAAATGGGATTTTAAATTTGGGGTTTTATAAATTGTATGTGGAGGACTACCTGTAGAACAGGGGTATGAAATTCAAGGCCCGTGGGCCGGATTTGGCCTGCGATGTTGTCAGATCAGACCCGCGTGGCCATCCTAGAAACCGTAAGGGGTTGGTCTGCGTCGCTTCGGCCCAGCGGGCGTGCAGGAGACAGCAGGTGCACGCCTGCACATAACCAAACCACGCCATCTTGGCAGGCGCGCGGGCATGCATGAGGCGGCTGTGCATGCCGGGATGATGTGGGCTTGGCCCTGTGCGCGCGCGCGCCGCCTCCACTCACACTCGTCTTCCGGGATAGGATGGGAAGGGCCATGGCTGCACATACTGGCCTTTCAGGCGAGACCACTCACACGAGTGACGTCAAGCTGGCTCCGTCCCCCAGGCCACGCTGGGCCATCCTGTTGGCCATCCTGACCACGCCCATCCCGGCCTCCCCGGAGGACAGCTACAAGGCTGATCCGAGTTTTGACACCCCTGCTGTAGAATATCGGCTGCCCCATTTGGAGGTAAAACCCACTCTAAAACTTAACCATCGATGTCTTCCTCTTCCCCCTTCAGGCCTGCGTTGAGTGCGAGAGCAACTCTCGGGTCTCCCCGCTTTATGACGTAGAGATCCAGGACATGGACCTAAGCGGCATGTTGGAGCCGATGGAGGAGGGTAACGGGGCGCAGGTCTCCCCGCCTTCTTTACCGGCGGAAATGGCCATGGAGGACGAGGAAGCCGGAGAGAGTCGGGACCAGGCACACCGGGCAAAAGCAAAAGCTCAGCAGACCAGCTAAGCCTTGGAGAAGAGAGGACTTCGGATCAATCTCGGACGTCGCTCGGATGAGGAGCCAAGACTGCTGAGCAGCAGGACTCGGCCAACCGAGGCGCGCAGCCAGGGGGCGTCCCTCCCGTTGCAAGGACCCTGTGTCGGCCTTCTTTCAACCAGGAACCTCTGGACTGGCGGGTCTCCAGGCAGGGGCAACCACCCCCCTCACCCGTCGTGGACGCCTTCCTCTCCTTCGACGGGACCCAGCCGCTTTAATCCTCGTGGTGTTTCTGGACAGGGGTTACGGACTCCCGGGAGCCCGGGATGTTTTTTGGTGCAGGATTTTGCGGTGGGGTGCGGGGACGAGCGAAGGCGACTCGAGTTTTTATGTATTTATTTTTTTTTGACAATTTTGTCATTGGTTGTTTTCCTGGGTTCTTTTTTTTTTCTTTCTTTTTTTTTTTTTACTGATCGGCGGCCGTGTCCCAGAAAGGGGCCGGCGCGCAGCGCTGAAAATAGTAATAAATGATAATAATAAAAAGATGAATTGGAGAACTGAGATGTTCGCGTACGCGCTTTGTGTCACTTCGCCACAACTTGAGGTCTGAGACGTGCTCAGGGTGGGGTGGGGTGGGGGAGAGCTTCTCTTGGAGGAGTCCGTCCACGGGGCTCTCTTGAGCTCGGAGGTTTCCTTGGCAGACGTTTTGTGAGCCGACTAGGTAACTGTTGTGACTCTGACCCCCGAGGCCAACTTATTGGAGGGAGAAGGCTCCGAACATGAAGGAGAGGAGTTGGCCAGGCCTCCCTCTCCAGGACCCTCCTCTCTGGCAATGCCTCAGGTGTCTCCCGAAGGAAAAGAGATTGGCCAGGAGCCAGGTATCTCCTCGCAGTCGGACAGTGACGGAGATAAGTCTTGGCTGGATCCACGCCAGTGTCGGAGAGACAGGCGCACGCATCAGAAAAGGAGGCGTGCCAGAGATTAAGCTGAGTCACTGGACCACATCGCACAGGGGATAAAAGGGGGTGAGGTGGCCATTCAGACTCTGTGACGGACAAAACTAACTATTAGCGAGTCACATTGTATCTTTGAAACAACGTTATCTGCCTTGGATTTAATACGGACTGGACTTGACAATTCTTGAACTCTGTGTATCTTGTTTGGGTTTATCTGCCGGAGGAACAACCCCTCCCTCTGAGTAAAGTTCTTGGCAAGCAGCTACTGGGTTGCTGCCAATCCTCTTATCGAAAGAATTAGTTGTCTGCCAGTTTTATTTAACCCCTGGCTATCTCTTTGTGTGCGTGTGTGAGACGGGGACAGAACAGTAACGTCATCAGTGCTAGAAGGGAGTTTGCTCTCTGTGTCTATATCCAAGGGGCCTGCCCTGTCGATGTCTGTGGGAGTGTTGTTTTCTTCCTGGTGGTTCCTTGATTGGGCTTTTGTATATTGTGTGATTGTTTGTCTTGAGTTGGTAATTGGCAAACCTCTTGTATATAAACAGAGAGCAAAGCCCACTCACTTCTAGCACTGATGATATTACTAGTTGGGTAAAGAAACGTCGGCAAGAAAACAACCAAGCTCAGAGAGCTCCAAGGACTCCAAGTCCTCCTACTAATATTCCTACTACTCTCTGCAAACCCCCTTCCCTATTAGCACTGATGATTGTTCTGTCCCCTCCCACGAGTGGCCTTGCAGAAGCTCAAATAGCCCGGCAGTAACAAACACAGGCTAGAGAGATTGAAGCTGGCCCTTTAATAAACAGTTCTCTTTCAAAAGTATATCAGTTCAGTAGTTACCGGCAATGTTCCAAAGGTATATCAGGTCAGTAATTACCGGGCAATGTTCCAGAGGTCTTGGCAGACGGCCAGCAGGCTAATGCAGGAATGCAGACTCCTTTTCAAAACTCAAAACTTAGCAGTTCTAAACTCCACTGCATCCAAAACGCCAACAAATTGTTCACCGCGCCTTTCCGGCCCAGCCACAGCCCTTTTATACTTTGTAGGGTGTGGCCCTACGTCTCCTGACCACACCTCTTGGGACGTGGCAATAGCTGTTCCCTACGACGTCTCCTACGTCTCTCTCTCGCATCCAATAGGGGCTCCCTCTCCTTGTTACCAGCTTTTCTTTCCTCCTCAATTTGGCTGGGGTCCAGAGGCACGTCAGCAACTGTTAGTTCTTGCTGACTCACCAGTGAAGACGGCCCCTCCGGCACATAGCTCGTGCCAGCTTCCTCCGTATCATCCTCCGACTCAGCACGCGAAGATAAATCAGCCTCCGGGGCCGGAGTCACAACAGATGATATTACATAGTTGGATCACAAAACGTCTGCAAGAGAACCACCAAGCTCAGAGACCACCAAGGACCCCACAGTCCTCCTCCTCCTCCTCCCCGCACACCCCCTTTCCTTCTAGCGCTGATGATATTGCCTAGTTGGATCACGAAACGTCTGCAAGAACACCACCCAGCTCAGAGACCAGCAAAGACCCCTCGCTCCTCCTCTGCAAACCCCCTTCTCTACTAGACCTGATGATATTGCCTAGCTGGGTAATGAAACGTTTGCAAAAAAACCAACTTGAGCTCAGAGGCCACTAAGGACATTTCAACTCCCGAGTTATAAATATTCACCATTGAGTTTATTTTTGCTCCACAAATCAACTTTCCTATTTTATTCTTATTTTTTCCCTCTGGTCCAGGGGTCAGCAACCTGCGGCTCTGGAGCCGCATGTGGCTCTTTCACCCCTCTGCTGCAGCTCCCTGACACTCAAAATATGCATCACAACCGCCAATGTGTGACACCTGCTGGCACGTGATTTATTGAGTTTTTCAACCCCCCGGTAGGCCAACCATGGATAAATCCAAGAAAAGAAAAGTTTCAGAAGAAAACAAAACGTTTAATTTATTTATTATTAAATTTATATACCGCCCTACTCCCGAAGGACTTAGGGTGGTGAACAGCCAAGAGATAAAAGACACATAATACAAACATTAAAAAAACATTTAAAAATACATAATAATTCAACTACATATGCTAGTTTTGCGGCCGCTCAAGAAATAGTCAGGCACAGGAAGGGTTTTGTGGCTCCCGGTGTTTTTCTTTCTGTGGGAAACGGGTCCAAATGGCTCTTCGAGCGTTTTAAGGTTGCAGATCCTTGCTCTGGTCCATCTCTGACTGCCGTTGACCTATATCGCCCATACTTTTCCTGTCGCAAATGCTTTTCCTAACTTTGCAGCTCCGGTCCCTTTGGGGAAGTGGGATTTTTTTTCAGATCTACCCATCGATCTGTCTTTTTCTTCAAAACGGAACCGGGGACCAAAGTGCCCCCAAAAATATTTTCCTGGGGGAAAAGATTCCTTGGTTAGCTCCTTGGGTGCCCATTGGGATCTGGAGGTAAAGAGACAAGTTTGGCTGTGATTTTACTTCTTGGGACGCAGCTAAGACTCTGAGCTTGTCGATCGAAAAGTCGGCAGTTCAGCGGTTCGAATCCCTAGTGCCGCATAACGGGGGGAGCTCCCATTACTTGTCCCAGCTTCTGCCAACCTAGCAGTTTGAAAGCCCGTAAAAAAGGCAAGTAGAAAAATAGGGACCATCTTTGGTGGGAAGGTAACAGCATTCCGTGTGCCTTTGGTGTTGAGTCACACCGGCCACATGACCACGGAGACGTCTTTTGACAGCGCTGGCTCTTTGGCTTTGAAACAGAGATGAGCAGCGCCCCCTAGAGTCGGGAACGGCTAGCACATATGTGCGAGGGGAACCTTTACCTTTTAGTTGCAAAACCAGTTTTGGAATATGGGGATGTGTTGATGGTTGGCGCCTGGATATCTTGTTTTTTTCCCCAGGTTTTTTATTTTATTTATTTATTTTTTACAAACATCACTGCGTGATCAGTTTGGCACCTGGGTATCATGCATTCTAATACAAATAAAACTAGCAAAATTTATTTATTTTATTTTATTTTATTTTATTATTTTATTATTTTATTATTTATTTATTTATTTATTTATTTATTCGATTTATATGCCGCCCTTCTCCAGAGATGGGTGCTTGGCAATTGGCTCACACTTATGACCATGGCCACATGAGCACAATTTAGGATGGGTTTTTTTTTTGCTGTTTTCCAGAAAACAGAAAAAAAAAAAAACCCCACCCATTGGATATGCTGGATTTGCTTAACGACAAACATATGATTCGCTTAACGACTGTGATGCTTAACGACCGTCGTAAAAACAGTTGTAAAACCAAGTCCGTTTACTTAGGGACCTGTTTAATGCCTCCTTCTTCCCGATTTAACGATCAAAAATCTTGTGCCCAGTTCCAGTCGTAAATCGAGGACTACAACTTAGATTTGGCATGTAATACCCAAGCTGGTAGAGAAGGATGGTTGAAAGATGCCCATAGACTTCATCTTCAGCTCATGTGTTTTATTTTTTAAAGCAGACCCTTCCTAATTTGGAGCGTTTTATTTTTAATTTATTTTAATTTTTTATTCCTCTCCTCTTTTGACACAAGTGCTTTGGAGGTTTTTGCTAAAATTTGGATTCGAACCCTTGCTCTCTCTCTCTCCTAAGCCGCCATGCCTTTTTCCCCTCTTAATTCTCATTTTTTGGGTGAACGTGGAAAATAAATATGGATAGTCCTCCACTTATAACCGCGATTGCGCTCCAAATCTCTTTTGTGACATTTGTGAAGTGAGCTTGGTTCCATTTTACGACGTTTCTTGCCAGGGTCGTTAAATGAATCACCGCAGTGGATCAGTGGGTAACCCGGTTGTTAAGTGAATCGGGCTTTCCCCGGGGAAGGTCGCCAAAGGGACACCGCAACCATCGTTTCCAAAGCCTCTGAATTTGGATCATGTGATGTCGCAACTGTGAAAAACGGGTCGCAAGTCGCATTTTTCAACTTGGGACGGACACTAAACGTTGTAAATCGAGGACTATCTGTGGCAGCCCGGGATCTTAATTTTTGATATCGGTTGAAAATGTCTCTCGTTTTTTCCCCCCTCTTCTAGTTAAAGGGGAGAATACCTCAGGCCGCCATGTTTTACAGAGTAACAGGGTACCAAGGGTGGGAGAGACGAAACTGGTTTTGCTTACGTTTTCCTCCATTGATCAAACTCTTTTATTTTTTTGTGGTATAAAACCACAAGTTTTTCTTCCTTTCTGTGTTGTGTATGTGTGTGTGCGAGTGTGAAGGAACCGGGTCGTATTTGGGGTACAATTTCTGTGAAACGGATTCTGTCACCAAATAAAGGCGTCGTCAGGATTGCGACGGATGCCCCAATTAAATCAAATATAATTAAATTTTTGACTTTTTTCTTACGGTGTCTGGCATATATATTTTTTTTTTGAGGAAAAAAAAGTGACAGCTGGATCCTTCAAGACTATTACACCCGTCTTCTCCAGAATAACAGAATTAGAGGTCGTCTAGTCCAACCCGCTGCTCGAATCCTCGGTTTACAACCGTCATCGAGCCCATTTGTTGCTGAGCAAGTCAGTTCTTAAGTGAATTTTGCTTCATTTTACGACCTTTTTTTCCCCCCCTACAGCTGTTAAGTGAATCGGAGAATGAAAAACACCAGAGAACTAGAATTGGGGCTCGATTCCGTAATCTCACTTAAAAACACAACCAAGTTAATCTGTGGTGATGCTAGAAGACGGGATGGCTGAGGACCTCCCATTCTACACTCTGTGGCAGGAATCTGAATTATTGGTAACAAGTATTATATTCCGACGTCTGTAGAGGGTCTCCGTCATCCAGGTCATGTATGTCCCAAAGGTGTTTTTTCAGGAGGATTTCTTCTTTGAAGACGTTTCGCTTCTCATCCGAGAAGCTTCTTCGGCTCTGACTGGATGGTGGGGAACGGAAGGATTGGTACTCCTTGCAGACAGCTGGTCATTTGCAGCCTTTTTAGGGAGCCGTTGAGGCTGCTGGGAGGTTTTATCTGTGTCCTCAGGATCACCTGAGGGGTGCAACTGGGTGTGGGGCCTTCTTGGAACTGCTGAAAGGACACCGAGAAACCTCCAAGCGGCCTCAAGGACTCTCTGAAAGGATGCAAATGACCGGCTGTCTGCAAGGAGTATCAGTCCTTCCGTTCCCCACCATCCAGTCAGAGCCGAAGAAGCTTCTCGGATGAGAAGCAAAACGTCTTCAAAGAAAAAAAATAAATCAGAAAATCCAGTTGCCTCTTGGGGAAAAAAAGCACTTTTCGGATATTATATTGAAGGATGGCAAGAGTCTGAAGATTGGGCCTGTCAAAATTTGGGTTTGACAGGAAAATGGGAGAGGGGGACGGAGTGCGAAATACCTCAAAATGGTGAAAAAAATGGAGTGAATTTTTTTTTTTAATTTTTCAACAAAACATAAAACAACCATCATCCATTACAATTACAGAAAGTGTGTCGCTCGGTTACAATTCTTTTGTGCTTAATCTCCTCTCCAAAATTTACAAGTTATTTAATTTCTCTTATTATATCTCTTTGTGTTATTATTCTCATTTAACATTTATTTGACAATGGCATTTGTCTCATTAAAAAAAAAACCTGTTTCATATATTATATTATTACATTTATTTCATATTTCATACTTCATTTCCATGTTTTATTATCTAGCCACTGATAAAATAAATCCCATATCCTATAATATTGTTTATCTTCCTGTTCTCTAATTTCAAATGTCAATTTACTCATTTCTGCATATTCTTTAACTTTCTTGATAACTTCATCTTCCAGAGGTATTTTCTCCTTTTTCCAGTTTTTAGCAAATACAATTCTAGCCGCTGTTAAAACATTCACAATTAAATATCTCAGTTCTCTATTATTATTTTTTTAAAAAAATTGTACCTCGGTAGAATGAGGTAGGGATAATGGTGGAGAAACTCTACGGCAAATGATTTTAGGAAGCTAATGAATGCAGGTAGTCCTCGATTTAGGACCGCTAAGCGAGACATTCGTTAAGTGAGTTTTGCCCGATTTTACCACCCTTTTTGTCATAGCTCTTAAGTGAATCATTGCAGGCCATTAAGTGAGCAACACGGTGGTTAAATGAATCAACTCCCCCATGGACTCTGTCAGATCGCAAAAGGGGATCACACGACCCCAGGACGCTACAACGCGTCGTAAATATGAGTCGGTTGTCAAGGGGTCTGAATTTTGATCACGTAACCCTGGGGGATGCTGCAACGGTCGTAAGTGTGAAAAAGGGTCCAAAAGCACATTTTTCAGCCCCGTTGTAACTTTTAACAGTCACTAAATGAATTGTTCTAAGTCGAGGACCATCTGTGGTGGTGATCTGGTGCAAGGAATGCACGGTTAATGAAGGGACAGCCGCTATGCATAAAAGTCTGCTTGGATGCAGTCGGTATGAGCTTTAAAATGGAAACGCAGGGACTTTAAAAGAGAAAAAAGCAATGTTTTATATACAGTCCATGGCTGTGGCAGTAAGATTGCCTCCAGAAGTTGTGAATGCTCCAACAATTGGAGGTTTTTAAGAAAAGATTGGACAACTGTTGGTCTGAAAGGGGATAGGGTTTTCTGCCTGAACGGGGGGTTGGACTAGATGACCTCCAAGGTTCCTTTCAACTCTGCTATTATTCTATTCTATTCTATTCTATTCTATTCTATTCTATTCTATTCTATTTCTATTCTCCTTTCCTTTCCTTTCCTTTCCTTTCCTTTCCTTTCCTATCCTCCTTTCCTTTCCTTTCCTTTCCTATTCTATTCTATATTCCTTTCCTTTCTTTTCCTTTCCTATTCTATTCCATCTATTCTATTCTCCTTTCCTTTCCTATACTATTCTATATTCCTTTCCTTTCCTTTTTTATTCTATTCCATTTCTATTCTATTCTCCTTTCCTATACTATCCTCCTTTCTTTTCCTTTCCTTTCCTATTCTATCCTCCTTTCCTTTCCTATTCTATATTTCTTTCTTTTCTTTTCCTTTCCTTTCCTGTTCTATTCTATTCAATTTCTATTCTATTCTCCTTCCCTTCCCTATACTATCCTCCTTTCCTTTCCTTTCCTATTCTATTTCTATCCTCCTTTCCTTTCCTATTCTATTTCTATTCTCCTTTCCTATTGTATTCCATTTCTATTCTATTCTCCTTTCCTTACCTATACTATCCTCCTTTCCTTTCTTATTCTATTCTGTATTCCTTTCTTTTCCTTTCCTGTTCTATTCTATTCCATTTCTATTCTATCCTCCTTTCGTTTCCTTTCCTGTTCTATTTCTATCGTCCTTTCCTTTCCTTTCCTATTCTATTTTCCTATTCTATTCTATTCTATTCTATTCTATTCTATTCTATTCTATTCTATTCTATTCTATTCTATTCTATTCTATTCTAATTCTATTCTATTTCTATTCTATTCTAATTCTGTATTCCTCTCCTTTCCTTTAATATCCTATCCTATCCTATCCCTATTCTATTCTCTGTTCTGTTCTGTTCCATTTCATTCTATTGGTGAGGCCCATGGCTATATAATCCAAGCTCTACTCTATTTTTACACCATTAAGGAAGCAGAAAAGGAATGGAGTGTGTGTGTGTGTGTGTGTGGAGTGGACTTGGTTGTGCCCACCATCTTGACTTTTTTGACCTACTACCTCTTTAACGAGAGGCTGTCAAAAGACAGAGGTGATGTTCCCACTGACAGGCTGTCCATTTCCCCCCTTTCGCCTCCGTTGTAGGGCATCCGTACACAGCACAGGTAGTTCCCGACTTACAACTATTTGGTTCATGCCCAACAGCGCTGAAAAGTAGTGATTTAGGGCTGGTCCTCCTCGCAATTGCGACCGTCACAAGATATGCTATGCTATGCTATGCTATGCTATTCTACTCCATTCCATTCTAATGTAATTCTGAATTCTATTCTATTCTATTCTATTCTATTCTATTCTATTCTATTCTATTCTATTCTATTCTATTCTATATTCCATTCCAATGTAATTCTGAATTCTATTCTATTCTATTCTATTCTATATTCCATTCCAATGTAATTCTGAATTCTATTCTATATTCTATTCTATTCTATTCTTTATTCCATTCCATTCCAATGTAATTCTGAATTCTATTCTATTCTATTCTATATTCCATTCCAATGTAATTCTGAATTCTATTCTATATTCTATTCTATTCTTTATTCCATTCCATTCAATGTAATTCTGAATTCTATTCTATTCTATATTCCATTCCAATGTAATTCTGAATTCTATTCTATTCTATTCTATTCTATATTCCATTCCAATGTATTCTGAATTCTATTATATTCTATTCTATTCTTTATTCCATTCCATTCCAATGTAATTCTGAATTCTATTCTATTCTATTCTATTCTATATTCCATTCCAATGTAATTCTGAATTCTATTCTATATTCTATTCTATTCTTTATTCCATTCCATTCCAATGTAATTCTGAATTCTATTCTATATTCTATTCTATTCTATTCTTTATTCCATTCCATTCCAATGTAATTCTGAATTCTATTCTATTCTATCTATTCTATTCTATTCTATTCTATTCTATTCTATTCTATTCTATTCCTGTTTCTAATCTAGTAAGTAGTGCAAGGGGGTAGGTCTCTTTTTCAAAATCATATATCGTTTTCTTTTCCCCTTTCTTGGCTGTGCTTGTAACATTTTTTGCGTTCCCGAGGACGTAACACCTGCTTTGAAGTAATATTATGTATGTGGATTATCACACAGCGAGATATAAAGGTATTTTAAATCTTTTAAATATTGCTTAATGCATTGTAAGCCGCCCTGAGTCTCCGGAGAAGGGCGGCATATAAATCAAATTAAAAAAAAAAAATCCAGGTGACCGAGTTCCAGAAAAAAAAAAGTATAAATCAAGACTGCTTAAAAAAAATAAACACACACACACACACACCTTAAATTTTTTACTCCTCACTTGTCCCCGGCCTCTTTCATTACAACCCAATTCCCCAACTTTTTTTTTTTTTTTTTTTTGCGTTTTGTGTCATTTTCAAGCCCCCCACATAAAATGAATGACACACATCCGTGTAGCCTTGTTCGATGTGTTACTTGGCTGGATGAAAGAAGCAATTGGGGGAAAATCATCAGCCAAGATCCTTGCCTGGCAGGCGGGTCACGCTAGAGACCCTCCAAGGTGCTGTTTCCAAAGGTTTACACGAGGGTTTTCTAAGAGACCCCTTCAGCAACTCCAGACAAAGCCATAAGTGTACACGTGTCAAGGCAGAAGAAGCCGGGAGAAGTCGTGCTCCCGGCTTTCTCCCTGCAATTTCTGCGCTGGTCCAGCTAAGGAAAGCTGGGATCCCGAAAGAAGACATCCTCCTTTCTCGATCCCCCTGAGAAAAGAAGGGATCCGCCCGAGGGATTTTTATTAATCGGCTATTTTATGCAGATTCAGAAACACAAATTTTTTTTGCAAACGAGCATCTTGGACCAGCAAAAAACGCCGTGCTGGCAACGGACCAATCAGCGCACAGCTCCTCTCCTATAAATACCAGCGCCCGCCGCGCCTCCGGGCCATTGCAGGGTCCGCGTCGGAGGTGTGAGGGTGTCTCCGGTTGAAAGGATGGCAGAAGTCGCGCCGGCAGCGCCCGTGGCGGCGGCTCCGGCTTCCAAGGCGGCGGCGAGGAGAGCGGCGGGCGCTTCTTCGAAGGCGGCGCGGAAGCCGGCCGGTCCCAGCGTGACGGAGCTGCTGATGCAGGCGGTGACGGCTTCCAAGGAACGCGGCGGCATCTCTTTGGCCGCGCTGAAGAAATCTCTGGCGGCGTCCGGCTACGACGTGGAGAAGAACAACAGCCGCATCAAGCTGGGGCTGAAGAGCCTGGTGACCAAGGGGACGCTGCTGCAGACGAAGGGCACGGGAGCCTCGGGCTCCTTCAAGCTCAACAAGAAGCAGGCCGACCCCAAGGACAAGGCGGCCCGCAAGAAGCAGCAGCAGCCGGCGGGAGCCAAGAGCGCCAAGAAACCCACCGGCGCCGCCAAGAAGGCGAAAAAAGCACCGGTTGCCGCCGGGGCGAAGAAACCCGCCAAGAAGGCGGTGAAGAAAACAGCCTCCAAGGGCGTCAAGAAGCCTAAAGCGGCGGCAGCGAAGGCTAAAAAAGCGGTCAAAAGCCCCGCCAAAGCCAGGGCGGCCAAGCCGAAAGCGAAGCCCAAGACTCCCAAAGCGAAAGTGGCGAAGCCCAAGAAAGGCGTGGTGAAGAAGTGAGCTCTCGCTCTCGTTCTCTCTCTCTCTCGCCTCAGGTGCGAGTCTTCGTTTGCTTTGCCACAAAACCCCAAAGGCTCTTTTAAGAGCCACCCACAGAAACGTTAAAAAGATGCTGTCACTAAAAACAACGGGACTACCTCGCAGGGCTGTTGTTTGGAAAGGGAGGGAAAGTGGTGCGGCCGCCGCCATTTTAAATCTCTTGCCGAGGGTGATAAAAACGAGCGATTTGTAAATCAAGGCAAAACAAAAAAAGCATTTAGGAAAATGGTGTTTTTTGTTTTTTTTTTTAGATTTAGCCAAAAGCTTGGGGACTTTGGGCCAATCATTCTCGGCCCCCAAGCCACCATAACAAGATGGATGACTTGGGAAAATTTAAACCCAAGTTCGCTGCCTTGGGTTAAATTTATAAAGAAAAATTAAAGCATATAAATAAAAACACGGAGAGGGGAGAGTCTTTTGCAAACGATTCATCATGTGAAACGTCAGAAAACGATAAAAAAAGTTTTATTGATTTAAGGCCACAAGTGGTGAATTGATGAGTTACGTTCCTCCTTCCAGCTGGGTTTTAAATCTTGCAACTTTGGGGTGAGTCGAAGCTTTTCAGAATACTTGGCTGAAAAGGCAGCTTTTGCATATTTTTTAAAAAAAGTTGGAATTTGGCTTAAAAATTCCATTTGGCTCGTGGGCTTTCAAAAAGGAGGCGGCTAACGAAGCCTAAAAGATCCCAATAATGGCACAATAAACAAACAGTAACAGAGTTGGAAGGGATCTTAAGAGGTCATCTAGTCCAACCCCGTGCTCCCGCAGGAGACCTATGCTAGGGATTCGAACCGCCGACAAGCTCAATATTCAAGCCAGCGGGCAAAATAACTTACCTAATACTTTTCGGGTAGCCATCACATATGTATCTTTAACGTTTATATTTTATTGGATTTTACTAATGTAGGAGAAATGTTTATATTGCTTAGCCCATGCATGATTTAATCTGATTTAATTAGGCATTTTCACTTTGTATAATGGATTATTGTGGTTTTATTGTTGTGAGCCGCCCTGAGTCCGTTGGAGATAGGGCGGCATATAAGCCTAATAAAAAATAAATAAATCATACAAATAAAGTCAAGCGCCCAAATTTAGTTCAACCCATATGTAATTATGGCTTATTCAATCTCCCAAGTTTAAGTGGATGAAAGACCCCAATACTAAAAATGAGTAACCGAAGTTACTGGCACAATCTGCTCCCGATTGGACCTCTCGGATCTTTTGTGAATTTGACGGTAATTAGCCGGCATGATCAGCGCTTTCGGTGGAGAATTTGGTGGCTCTTAAAAGAGCCTTTGGGTTTCTAAATCGGAGTGGCGGTTCTCGGAGTATGTTTTTACGCCCGTTCTCCGCGGATGCGGCGGGCCAGCTGGATGTCCTTGGGCATGATGGTGACGCGCTTGGCGTGGATGGCGCACAGGTTGGTGTCCTCGAAGAGCCCCACCAGGTAAGCCTCGCTCGCCTCCTGCAGCGCCATCACGGCCGAGCTCTGGAAGCGGAGGTCGGTCTTGAAGTCCTGCGCGATCTCGCGCACCAAGCGCTGGAAGGGCAGCTTGCGGATCAGCAGCTCCGTCGACTTCTGGTAGCGGCGGATCTCCCTCAGGGCGACGGTGCCGGGGCGGTAGCGGTGAGGCTTCTTCACGCCGCCGGTAGCCGGAGCGCTCTTCCTCGCCGCCTTGGTGGCCAGCTGCTTGCGGGGCGCCTTCCCGCCGGTGGACTTGCGAGCGGTCTGCTTGGTACGAGCCATCTCCGGAGTCGCAGTAGAAGCAGTATACGGCGGTGTCGCACTTCAGGGTATTTATAGGCACTTCGCAGAGCCTGATTGGCTGAAGCATCGCGAACATCCGTTAGGACGTTTGAATTTCGAGGGCTGAGCTGCAATTGGCTGTAGCGGTCTGGCTAGACTTCCATTAGATTGGGCTTTGACTGAGCCATTTCAAGCAAGCTGCATTTGATTGGACAAAGGGGACATAGCCTGCGGCTAAGCGCTAGTGGCGAAGTTTTCATTCTGGTCGGACCTTTTCCTTTATAAGCTATCCTTGGCAGACCACCGAGGTTAGTTTTTTGCTGTTTGTCGAGCTTTGAAGATGTCTGGTCGCGGCAAAGGCGGAAAAGGCTTGGGCAAAGGGGGAGCGAAAAGACACCGGAAGGTCCTCCGTGATAACATCCAAGGCATCACGAAGCCGGCTATCCGGCGTTTGGCTCGCCGCGGAGGCGTGAAGCGAATTTCTGGCTTGATCTACGAAGAGACGCGTGGGGTGTTGAAGGTCTTTCTGGAGAACGTGATCCGCGATGCCGTGACTTACACCGAGCACGCCAAGCGGAAGACCGTGACGGCCATGGACGTGGTGTACGCGCTGAAACGCCAAGGTCGTACTTTGTACGGCTTTGGGGGCTAATTCTAGACAAAAAAAGACAACAAAACAACGGTCCTTTTAAGGGCCACCCACAATTTCAGAAAAAGAGTTGTAGCGTATATATATAAAAAAATCACCTTAATATAATATTTCTTAGTGGAAATAACGACTTATTTGGTAAAAACTACTTGGTCGAGTAAAATGGCTGGCTATGTAAATAAGCTAAAAACGCTTTATTTATATACTCTCTCTTATTTCCTCCTCTGATCTTTTTCTACAGACTTGCCTGGAATTTTTAAGGCTTTGTGATTTAACATTTTATAGCTAAACGTGGAGAGTTTTTAGGAGAAAAAAAAGCAGTCCAATTGGCATTTTGCAAAAGCACCTTATATATAACACTATAGCATTTTTATACACTGTTCCAAAAAATAAAGGGAACACAAGCAGAAGACCTCCGAGATCTGAATGAATGAAATAGCCTTATTAAATACTTTGTTTTTTACATACAGTAGTTTATACACCGCTCAAGCAACTAAAGGGAACACAAAACTACTGTATGCAACGAACCAAGTATTTAATAAGGCTATTTCATTCATTCAGATCTCTGATGTCTTCTGCTTCTGTTCCCTTTATTTTTTTGAGCAGTATATATTGACTGCTATAAGCATTTTTATCCTGGCAGTCCTGAGCCTCTTCACAGGTAATTATTATTATTATTATTATTATTATTATTATTATTATTATTATTATTATTTAGATGCTTTTACAATCTTGGTGGCTTACCACGATCAAACGACCCGTAAAAGCCTTTAAAAAGAGATTAAGTGTTCAAGTTTAAAATACGTAAAATGAACCATGGTGCGAAACTTCACTTGATAAGTGTTGTACCTTATGATTCTGGATGAACTCATCTTTTTATGTACACAGAGCATATGCACCAAGACAAGTTCCTTGTCTGTCCAATTACACTTGGCCAATAAAATATTCTATTCTAGGGATAGGATGACATATATACATTCAATAAAAGAAATGCATGTGCCTTTTATTAGGTGTATTCTGAAAGTCCTTTAGCCGGTCAGCAAAGAAGAATAGTGTAGAACTCAATAAATTGTTTATTTATTTATTGGTTCGATTTTATATGCCGCCCTTCTCCGGAGACTCAGGGCAGCTTACAATGCTTTTAAGCAATAGCCTTCATACTTTTGAATATATCTGCTTAGTAGGGCTTTGGGGGGGGGGGCCCTAAGCGGTGTTCTTTTTTTATACAAAGTCAGCTTATTGCCCCCCACAATCCAGGTCCTCATTTAAATGTAATGTATGGAATCTAAGGAATCTAATATAATTTTAATGAGCAATTTTATGACGTTTGTGTGTCTATATTTTTCTTGACTGTACACCGCCTTGAGTCCTACGGGAGAAAGGCGGTATAGAAATATAATAAATAATAAATAAATAAATAAATAAATAAGAGCCTGTAGTACAGTGGACTAAAGCACTGTTATTAACATCTGCTGCTTGCAATTACTGCAAGTTGGAATCTCACCAGGCTCAAGGTTGACTCAGCCTTCCATACTTTCAAAGGTAGGTAAAATGAGGACCCAGATTGTGGGGGCAATAAACTGACTTTGTATAAAATATACAAAAAGTATGAAGGCTATTGCTTAACGCATTGTAAGCCGCCCTGAGTCTCCGGAGAAGGGCGGCATATAAATCATTTTTTTTTTAAAAAAATGTTACCTAGAATCAATACACACGAGTTTCACCGTGCAATCATAGAATCCCTAGGACCAGAAGGGAACTCTGGAGGTCATCTAGTCCAACCCCCCCTGCCCCCAAATCCTTCATACCTCTTAGGTCTTCAAACTTGGCAGCTTTTAAGAATTCCGGGAGTTAAAATCCACAAATCTTAAAAGCTGCCAAGTTTGGGGAGTCCAGTCCTAGGCGGTGAAAAGCCCCCTTTTGCAAAAAAAGTTAAGGAACCCACCGATTAGCCCCATTTGTTAGAAGCAGCACTTCCGAATTTCCATCTCCCCATTTATTTATTTATTTATTTTATTTTTCATATTTGTATACCGCCCTACTCCCGAAGGACTCAGGGCGGTGAACAGCCATAATAAATACAAATACATATAGAAGTTAAAAACTATTCAGAAACAGATTAAGTAATTTAGGCTCAAAGATTTAAAAACATCCAAATTTATCTAAAGAGGTTTAAAACCCAATTTAAAAGCCAGTTTAAAAGCCAATTAAAAAGGGAGTTAGGCCAGACCAGCTTGTTGGAATAGAAATGTTTTCAGGGCACGGCGGAAAATTAATTTTAAATTTTAAATTTAATTTTAAATTCACTTAACCTAACGAATCAGACCTTTCTATTTCACCAAGCCGGGCTGGCGTAATTTTTTTTCTTTTCCCTTTTTCCTAATGGTGTAAATTTTATTCTGAAGATCTTCGCTTTAATTGATAAGCCAAATCGACTTGATTATTATATATTGCTTCTATTTCACATTTTTATATCTATGTTTATTTTGACTGTTCACCGCCCTGAGTCCTTCGCGAGGGCAGTATAATTAATTAAATAATTAAATAATTAAATAAATCACTTCACCCAATATTTTGCTAATGAATTAATAGAATTGGAAAAATCAGCTTTTTTTGAGAGGCTGTGGGTGGCTCTTAAAAGAGCCTTTGCAAATTTTTTTTTTTTTAAAAAAAAAATATTTCTGGCCGACAAACGTGGAAATGATTTTATTTTTTTTTAATTTTTTATTTCGCCTTGGCTTTGTGGCTCTCGGTCTTCTTGGGCAGCAAAACGGCCTGGATGTTGGGCAAGACGCCGCCCTGGGCGATGGTCACCCGGCCCAGCAGCTTGTTGAGCTCCTCGTCGTTGCGGATGGCCAGCTGCAGATGACGCGGGATGATGCGGGTCTTCTTGTTATCCCGCGCCGCGTTGCCCGCCAGCTCCAAGATCTCGGCCGTCAGGTACTCCAGCACGGCGGCCAGGTAAACCGGAGCTCCGGCGCCCACCCGCTCCGCGTAGTTGCCCTTCCGAAGCAACCGGTGCACTCGGCCCACGGGAAACTGCAGCCCGGCGCGGGAAGAGCGAGTCTTCGCCTTGGCTCGGGTTTTGCCGCCTTGCTTGCCGCGTCCAGACATGACCGCTCTTTGCCAAACGCTGCTCTCTCTTCGCAGAAGCACGGAATACTGGCCAGCGAGCGCCGCGACCCGCCTATTTATTTACTCCTCGGGTTTCCAGCGGCCTCTTCGGATTGGATGGCGGTGGTTTGGGCCCGTCCAATGGGAACGTCGTTCTTTCAGCCAATCGGAACGTCTTATTTCATTTCATTTTATTTTTTATTTTATTTGACTCACTCCGGCGCGCGGTTGTGTTTTTATTCCGTCCAATCGGAAGCCTCCTTCGGAGCAATTTTTCTCTTAATAACTTTTATGGCTAGTTTTGGAGGGTGGGGGTGGGGTTTGGGGTTTAAAGAAAGAAGTAAATTAAACAAATAAGTAAGTAAATGAAATGAAATAAGTAAGGAAGTAAAATTAAATAAGTAACTAAGTAAGTAAATAAAATGAAATAAGTAAGTAAAATGAAATAAGTAAGTAAATAAGTAAATAAAATGAAATAAGTAAGTAAGTAACTAAGTAAATAAAATGAAGTAAGTAAAATGAAATAACTAAGTAAATAAAATGAAGTAAGCAAAATTAAATAAAATTAAATTAAATAAGTAAGTAACTAAATAGCTAAATGAAGTAAGTAAAATTAAATAAGTAAATAAAATGAAATAAGTAACTAAGTAAGTAAATAAAATGAAATAAGTAAAATGAAGTAAGTAAGTAAAATTAAGTAAGTAAAATTAAATAAGTAAATAAAATGAAATAAGTAAATAAAATGAAATAAGTAACTAAGTAAGTAAATAAAATTAAATTAAGTAAAATTAAATAAGTAAATAAAATGAAATAAATAAATAAATAAAATTAAATAAGTAAGTAAAATTAAATAAGTAAATAAAATTAAATAGGTAAGTAAATAAAATGAAATAAGTAAAATGAAATAAGTAAATAAATAAAATTAAGTAAGTAAAATAAGTAAATAAAATTAAGTAAGTAAAATTAAATAGGTAAGTAAATAAAATTAAATAAGTAAATAAAATTAAATAGGTAAGTAAATAAAATTAAGTAAATAAAATTTAAGTAAGTAAGTAAATATAAATAAGTAAATAAAATTAAATAAGTAAATAAATAAATAAATTTTGTCTTAAAGTATCTTTTAAGTAAATAAGCAAGTAAACAAACAGGTTTCTTGGCTGGGACTCCAAAGCGGTTAGGATGCTTCATTTAATGGTACTTTCACTTAAAGCAGTAGCCAAAATTGTGGAAACCTTTTGGGGAATAGTATGTTTTCTAAAACTAGCAAATCACACCACTTCTGGTTTTTTTTTGTAGTACTATAAAATTATCAACAGAAAGAGAATTGAATCAAGAATGTAATGGGATACCTTTGATGAAAGATTGGCTATTAGAATAGCGGTTATGGTATAAAGAAGAAAAGTGAAACGCATGGAAAAAACGAGATGTACAAAAATGATCACTGTAGAAAAAACAAGATACACAAAAATGATCCCCATGTCAGTTAATCCTTAGTTGGGTAACCTTTCGCATGAATGACGGCCTTACAACGTCTTCCCATGGAGTGAATCCAGTCTTTTAGCTCTGCAACTGTTATCATGTGAAACCAAGATTGAAGGATGGCTTCGATCAACTGGGTTTTATTGCTGGGTGGCTTCTGATTAACAAGTTTCTTCGATTTCTTCTGTATGCAAACTGGTGTTTATCAAATGCATTTATTTCTTGATTTGTCGGGTAGAGCATTCCAGGCGTTGACCACTCTGTGGCTGAAATCGCATTTCCTGCAATCTGCAACACAATAGGACCCATCTAGCAACAGAAACTCCCCACATGGCACCTGGGGAAGATTACAACAGCCAGCAAGGCTAGCTAAGACCCCCCAACCCCCTGGGAGTCTGACAACCAATCAGGATACTCTTCCTGTGCCCCAGGAAGTTCAGAGCTCAGAGAGGGCATAAAACCCAGGAACTCGCTGCATCTCGCCCCTTTTTCAGTTCAGGAACTCAAACCCTGTGATCCTGTCCACCATTAAACCATCTTTCCAAGCAGTCTCCATGTTTCCAGTGTCTTTTTTCCCCACTTGGAGCTGGAGCCAGAAGGGATATTTCCTTCCAACCCAGCAAAGTTAAACTCAAAATAGTCCTCAAAATAATGGGGACCATTATTTCCAGGGTGGCTTTCTTTGAGGCATCTCCTGCAAAAGGAAATCCCCATTTCCGTTTCTGTTGTGGCCGGTATGTGGCCTGTGCAGGTGGTGGCTGATTCAGACAGCGAGGAGGCTGGTGTGGTGCTGCGCCAGCAACCTGTGCAGCTGGCACTCGAGTCGGACAGTGAGGAGGCTGGAGAAGATGTGGTGCCAGAGGCGGGGATTCAGCCAGGGCCTTCAGAACCTCCAGAAGCTCCTTTAAGTGAAGAGGACGAAGAGGAGGAGCCTCTTCTCGATGCACGGGCGTGCAGAGCTGCCAAAAGGTAGGAGTGGCTCCTCAGGAGGAGGTCTCCTCGAGAGTAAGGCTTGGGGCTAATTGGCCACTCCCTTAGCCTATTTAAGGAGGAACGCCGACTGAAGCAATTTGCAGGGAACAACTTTGTTCACTCTCCTTCGTGTCGTCTGGATCTTAGTTCTCTGCAAATTGCTTCTGGGCTTTCGGCCAACCATAGTAAGATTAAGATTATTTATTCTTTGGATTCTTGCAGGCTGTTAAGACAGTAATTAACAGCCTTTGTTTGAAAAAAAAAACCCTGATTTTATTTTAGTAAACTAAGGTTTGTACAGACTTTGTGTGCGCTGCGTTCTTTGGGGTCCGTAGCTGGGGCAAAACAGTTTCCCGACTGCTCCTGCTTGGGGGCCTACAGAATTGCCTTTTGGAATTTAGGCAACGGAAGGTGGGACCTAATCACTTAAAAACAGTGAAGATGAAATAAATAAATTATATACATATGCATACATACATACATACACATATATATATAAATAAAATTTCCATATGTTAACACTAACCAATGGGACAGCTTGCCACCAGAAGTTGTGGATGCTTCATCATTGGAGGTTTTTTTTAAGAAGAGTCTGGACAGCCATTTCTCTGAAATGGTCTAGGGTCTCCTGCTTGAGCAAGGGGGCTGGGCTAGAGGACCTCCAAGGTCCCTTCCAACTCTGTGCAGGCAGTCCTCAATTTACGACCATTGAGCCCAAACTTTAGGTTGGTAAGTGAGACATTGGTGCAATTTGGCAAGAAAAGTTTAATTTAATTTTTTAAATTAAAGAAACTTGGTGTGGTTTTTATTTTGGCACCCCACCGTAGACCCAAAGAAGCTTTTGGGGGACCTGAGGAAGTACAAGTCGCTCTTTTGTGACTTGGTGGAGTGGCTCTGAAAAGAGCCTTTGAGGGATCCAGCTGTTCCTGGCGAGATTGAACTCAATTTCGGGGGCTTGGTGACCTTCAAGGCTTCTTGGGCAGCAAGACAAGGCTGGATGTTGGGCAGGAGGCCGTCCTGGGCGATGGTAACCCAGCTCAGCTGCAAACAACACGGGATGATGTGCCGCATTGCCCGCCAGCCGATTGCTGGATTTCAGCGGTTGATTAATATGACATTTCAGCAGCTTGCGCCTCCTCGATCGCCATCTGCAGGGTGAGGTTCGGCATCGCGAGCAACCGTCGCTGCAATTCGAGGTCTCTCATTCCACCGACCACTCTGCACAAAAGAATGTCGTCGAAGTCCGCGAACTCGCAATACAACGCTGCCTTTCGAAGGGCTGCAACGTAGCGGTGGATCGATTCGCCCTTGGCCTGATTGCGATGGTAGAAAGCGTATCGGCGAGCCATCCGCATCAGTGTGGGCGCATAGTGCGTCCTCAGCTCGTTCTGCAGCGTGTCCCACGGTACTGTCTGAACAGCCACTGGAGCAAGGAGAGCTCTGTCCGTTTCAAAAACCTCCGGGCCGCAGTAGCTTAGGAAAAGTGCCCTTTTTCTGTTGTCCGAGATTCCGGTAAGTTCATTGGCTTCGAGGAAACACTCAAAGCGAATCATGTAGGAGTCCCATGACTGAGAGGCTGGGCTGTATGGCGGAAGCGGCGGTAGTGCAGCCATTCTACTAGACCAATGGGAGCCCAGGCAATTTGGGCTGATGCTTTTATAGTCAATGAATAGTGCTGCAGGAAATGGCAGATTGTCTCCGGTGCTCAGCTCTTGAATGGGTTGTGATCAGCTCTTTTGGCTCAATTTCCATCCGATCCCACCTTCGTCGCCAGGGTGAGACCGGAAGCAAAACCAGAGTGATTTCAGCAAAGCTCCTTCAATGTAGCTCACAGGAACAAAGAGCAACAGCCTGACCGGCAGCGCTCCTTTTATAGGTGGCTGTGGGGGCCGGTCAACCAATCAGATGAAAGTATTTTCCCGCTTGAAGAGCCGACCTGAGTGAGAACTTCAGCAACTGTTTCAGTTACTTCTTTCCATTCGTTAAGACTAACCAATGGATAAAATCTAGATAAAATTTTAACAGGTTCTGATGACTATGTAATTAAAAAATTGTATGGTTATTTATTAAAAGTAAAACTGGAAGAAGAACAAGTTAAAGAAACAATGATTACACGGGGGAAAAATTTTGGTCACAAAATAATAAAATGACAATGTCAACAGCGTATAAGGAGAATTTGTATAAGATGTCTTACAGGTGGCATTTACCCCCCCGACGAGAGTAGCCAGAATGTTCAAGAACAAATTGGAGAAATGTTAGAAATTTATTTATTTATTTATTTTATTTAATTTATATAATTAATTTATATTTAAATTATAACTTATATAAATGAATTATAAATTATTTATTTAATTTATAATTTATTTAATTTATATATAAATGTCATCAGATTCCAGGCTCATATTACCATATGTGGTGGACCTGTGTAGAAGCTAAAAGATACTGGACTAAAATCCACACATGGTTGAAAAAAAATGACAAAGAAACACATTGACTTTAAACCTGAGATATTTTTATTAGGAATTTTACCAGAAATATATAATAGAGAACTGAGATATTTATTTTTTAAATTTTTTTTTAAAAAACAAACTTTATTAAGCTTAAAAAGATAAAAACATACAAATTATTCTCAATCATAGAATTACATATACAATACAAATCACCACAAACAAACTACATATATGTAATTACATACACACATATATAGACAGTGACTTATTATCTATTCTATCTAAACTATCTAAATGAGAACTGAAATATTTAATTGTGAATGTTTTAACAGCGGCTAGAATTGTATTTGCTAAAAATTGGAAAAAGGAGAAAATACCTACTGAAGATGAAGTTATTAAGAAAGTTATGAAATGAGTAAATTGACATTTGAAATTAGAGAACAGGAAGATAAACAATATTATATGATATGGGATTTATTTCATCGATGGCTAGATAATAAAGCATGGAAATGAAACATGAAATAAATGTAATAATAAAATATATGAAGCGGTTTTTTTACGGGAGACGAGCCGTTGTTAAATAATTGTTAAATGAGAATAATAATATAAAGGGCTATAATAAGTTGTCAAATAAGAGAAATTAAACGACCTGTACATTTTGGATATGGGATTAAGCACAAAAGAATTATAACCGATCGATACACTTTCTGTAATTGTAATGGATGATGGTTGTTTTATGTTTTGTGTCAGCACTCCAAACTACATTCGTTCCAGTGCTGACATGAGGAGGAGAAGAGGGGGCAGCTGGCAAGGGGACGCTTGACTTTTCACCTACTTATTTTCCCTGAAGATAATATCCCCTGGGAGATGAGATGGGAGGGGGGACATTCCTGGGAGCTGAAGTAGTAGATATGGGGAGAGCGATTTGGAAGATGACCAATGAGACGCAGAGAATTGGGGAACGGAAAAGGAAGGTTTGGGGGTCAGGAAGTCAGTGTTGGCTACGATATAATCGGGGCCAGATTGTCGTGCTTAAGAAATGAAAGATTTCATCAAAGACTGATTTGTTTTGAGACGATACTGAAACCTGACATTTTGTTTTGTTTAAAAATAAGAAACAATTTTCAAAATTTTCAAAATTTTTCAAAAAAACCCCACAAATAAAAAAACCCACTAACCAATGGGACAGCTTGCCTCCAGAAGTTGTGGATGCTCAATCACTGGAGGGTTTTTTTTATATAAGAAGAGACTGGACAGCCATTTCTCTGAAACGGGATAGGGTCTCCTGCTTCAGCCAGGGGGCTGGGCTAGATGACCTCGAAGGTCCCTTCCAGCTCATTTATTCATTCATTCATTCATTCTAATAACCGTGTTAACTAAGTTCACTAACTGGTTCCCTTAACCAGAAAGATCCTAAAACGGATGAAAGCCGACTTAACAACCGTCTTGATGAGCAGTTGGAAATGTTGGGGCTCAACTGTGGTTGCGGAGGACTGCCCCTAATTATGGGCTTTGTAGTCTGGACTGGAGGGCAGAGCAGGAAAACCGATAGGAAGTGTCGCAAGAGTTCTCTGTTAGAGCCCCCCAAATAATGCAGACGATATAAGGAACTCCTGCTGGAGCAGTGGGTTGGACTAAATGACCTCAAGGTACCTTCTAACCCTAATATTCTATAATTCTGTAAGGATCTCCTGCTGGAGCAGGGGGTTGGACTAAATGACCTCTGAGATCCCTTGCAGCACTCGATTGCTGTGCTGTTTCCAAGCATCTTCTGAAGCCTCATTTAGCGCCAGGCCCTTCCTTCCAAAGTCCCTGACTTACCACAGTCCATTTAGTGACCGTTCCAAGTTACATCAGTGCAAAAAGTCACTTAGGTTAAGTTTTTTCCATTTACTACCCTTTTAGCATCCCCTCCCCCCGTCACATGCTTTACCTTCGAACGTCACGGACTCACATCTGTGTTGCACATCAAAGACTGTAATGATGGGCTTTGTAGTCTGGACTGTAGGGCCCAGCAGGAAAACCCCTATAGGAAGTGTCGCAAGAGCTCTTTTTCTCAACGGCGCATTGGTGGTTCAGTGGTAGAATTCTCGCCTGCCACGCGGGAGGCCCGGGTTCGATTCCCGGCCAATGCAACATGAACTTTTTTTAAAAATTTAATTATTTTATTTTATATTTGGGAAATACACAGTTTTGACCCTGCAGGCTGCCACGGAGACGCCCTTCCCCCCCCCCACACACACTTTGCAATCCACCCTTTTCCCACTTTCACTCTCTGCGGTGCAAACCCCCCCCATCCCACGGCAAAGGAAGGGTTAAGGTAAGAGGCGGAACTCCGGGGAAAGGTTGGCTTCGGTTCCGCTACTGCGCACGCGCTCCTGTGCTTCCGTGGGTGGGGGTAGTGGCAGGGGAGGGGGGGGTGGCATTTTCCGCGCATGCTCTCTTCCATCCCCTGAGGGAAGGCCAGCTCAAGCGCCGCGATGGAAGCGGCCAAAATGGCGTCGCCTAAAAGCGCCCCGAAGGACGCGCAGGTGGGGCAGGGCTGGCCGGGGAGGGGACGGGGGAGATGCCCGGGGAGGAGGCCGCTTCAGCAGCTGCGAGGAGCCGCGAGTGTCTCTCTCTCTTTCTCTCTGGCTCCTGGGCGCGCTGGGCGCTGCTTGGCAGCTGGAGGATGGGCTTTGTAGTCCCCGGACTGACTCTTCCCCTTCAGCTGGGCCTTTTCTGGCCTTTTCCTTCTGGCTGGGAATGAGAGAGGAGAAGGGATTTAGCTCCCTGATTGGCAACCCTCTACCTCTATTTCTTTCTTTCTTTCTTTCTTTCTTTCTTTCTTTCTTTCTTTCTTTCTCTTTCTTTCTTTCTTTCTTTCTTTCTTTTCTCTCTTTCTCCTTTCCTCCCTCCCTCCCTCCATTCCTTCTTTCTTTCTCATTTTCCTTCTTTCTTCCTTTCTTTCCTTCTTTTCTCTCTTTCTCCTTTCCTCCCTCCATTCCTTCCTTCCTTATTTTCCTTCCTTCCTTCTTTCTTTCTTTCTCATTTTCCTTCTTTCTTTCTTTTCTTTGTTTCTTTCCCTCCCTCCTTCCTTGCCTTCTTCCTTCCCCCTCTTTCTCTTTTCTCTCTTTCTTTCTCATTTTCTTCCTTCTTTCTTTCTCATATTCCTTTCCTTCCTTTCTTTCTTTTCTCTCTTCCTTTTTCTCTCTCCCATCCATCTCTTCTTTTCTTGTACCTCCTTCTTTCTTCCCTCCCTTCTCCTTTCCTCCCTCCCTCCCTCCCTCCCATCCATCCATCTTCTTCATTTCTTTCTATGGTACCTCCTTTCCTTTCTTCCTTTCTCCCTTCCCCCTTCTTTTCTTCTATCTCTCTTCCTTCTTCCCTTCTCCTTCCTTTCTGCCTTCTCCCTTCCTCCCTCCCATCCATCTCCCTTATTTCTTTCTACGGACCGACCTTCCTCCCTCCCTCCCTCCCTCCCTCCCATCCATCTATTTCTTTCCTTCCTTCCTTCTCCATCCATCCATCCATCTTCCTCATTTCATTCTATGGTACCTCCTTTCCTTCCTTCCTTCCTTCCTTCCTTTTCCTTCCCTTCCCTTCCCCTGCTTTTCTTCTATCTCACTTCCTTCTTGCCTTCTCCCTCCTTCCTGCCTTCTCCCTCCCTCCCATCCATCCCTCTCCCTTATTTCTTTCTACGGAACTTCCTCCCTTCCATTTTTTTCTTTCCTTCCTTCCTTCATCCATCCATCCATCCACCCATCTTCCTCATTTCTTTCTATGGTACCTCCCTCCCTCCTTTCCTTCCTTCCATCTATTTCTTTCCTTCCTTCACCCATCCATCCATCCATCTTCCTCATTTCTTTCTATGGTACCTCCTTTCCTTCCTTCCTTCCTTCCTTCCTTCCTTCCTTCCTTCCTTCCTTCTCCCTCCCTCCCTCCCTCCCCCCTCTCTTCCATCTATTTCTTTCCTTCCTTCCTTCCCTTCTCCCTCCCATCCATCCATCCATCTCCCTTATTTCTTTCTACGGAACGTCCTTCTTTCCTTCCTCCCTTCCTTCCTCCCTTCCAACTATTTCTTTCCTTCTTTCCTTCCATCCTTATCCATCCATCCATCCATCCATCTTCCGTGCTTCCTCGGGTGCCTTCCTCCCTCTTTTCTTTGCCCCCTCAGGTTTCTCCTAGCTCCGCCTGAGGCAGGGTTCGGGTCTGTATGTTTTGATTGACAGTCCAAGGACCAGGCTTTAACGAACAGCTTTTAAAAAGACCTTGGAGCCTGAATCCGATCAGACGCCCCTTGGGAGATCTTGTCCTCTTCCGATCGCCAAATGTTGCTCAAGCAGAGCCAGTTTCGGCCACGATTATCGGCCACGATTATCGGCCACGATGGACTTGGCCAAACTGAACAAAAACACACACAAAAAAAGGAACCGAGTTCTAAATGAGTTGGCAGCGGGAAGAAAAAAAAGGGTGGGCAGTACGTTAGCCTAGAGGTTGCGCTCACATCTCCCGATCCGGAGGCTGTGAGTTCGATCCTAGGTAGAGGCAGATATTTCTCTCTCTGGTGAATCTGCTGAATAGAACTCCCCATTGGTAACAGGAAGGGCATCCGGCCAGTAAACACTCACATTCAGTTGCTCCGACTCCACTCCGGATTATGGGGTCGTTAAAAGAGGAACAAGAGAAGAGAAAGGGGCAGAGACAAGCGAAAACCTAGAGAGAAGATTTATAACTTTGTTTACTTTTCAGAGGCCGAGAAACATCAGAAAAAAAGGAACTTCATCCAAAGTCTTGTTTGCGTTGCCGTTGATGCTGTGTGGGGTTACCTGACTATGTCCCTCTTTTTTTGCCCAGGTGATGGCCCAGATCCTGAAAGACACGGGGATTACAGAATATGAGCCCCGGGTTATAAATCAGATGTTGGAATTTGCCTACAGTAAGTGCTCCCTTTTGTGTGTTTGTACACCTTCCTGTTTGCTCGCTCTCTTTCTCCTACGGAGGCAGGATGCAGAATAACTTAACACCCTTTAAAAATATCGGAACAGATTCTGTCTTCTTCGATCAGCTCGAGCTTTTTTCAGTGCCGTTGTAACATCGGACAGTCACTAAACGAACGGTTGTTAAGTACAGCTAGTCCTCTACTTACAACGGTTCGTTTAGTGACTGACAGCACTGAAAAAAGTGACTTTTGATCGTTTTTCACACTTCACGAGCTTTGCGGCATCCCCGTGATTAAAATTCAGATCCTTGCCAACTGACTTGTACTTATAACCGTCGCAGGGATATATGATCCCCTTTTGTGACCGTCTGACAAGCAAAAGTCCAGGTTCACTTAACAACCAGCTTACTAACATCCGCTGCGGTGACTCACTTAACAACTGAGGCACAAAAGGTCATAAAAAGGGGGCAACTTAACAGATGTCTCACTGAACGATAGAAATTTGGGGCTCAATTGTGGCCATCAGGCGAGGACTGCCTGTATTCCCATTGTGTTCCTTTCTCAATGTTTTAGTCTATTTTTTTACTTCTGTTTACACTTTCATTTGGCTTCTTTTTTTACTCCTGTAAACTGCCTTGTTCTGCCCCAGCTACGGATCCCAAAGAACGCAGCCCACACAAAGTCCGTTCAAACCTTAGTTTACTAAATAAACCAGTTTTTTTACAACAACGGCTGTTAATTAACTGCATTAACAGCCGCCAAGAATTCAAAGAATAATAACTGAAAGCTTACTGTGGTTGGCAGAATGCCCAGAAGCAATTTGCAGGAAGCTGATTAAGATAAGCAAAACAAGACACGAAGGTATGTGAACGAAGTTGTTCCCTGCAAATTGCTTCAGTTGGCGTTCCTCCTTAAATAGGCTAAGGGAGTGGCCAATTAGCCCCAAGCCTTACTCTCGAGGAGACCTCCTCCTGAGGAGCCACTCCTGCCTTTTGGCTGCTCTGCGCGCCCGTGCATTGAGAAGAGCTCCTCCTCTTCGTCTTCTTAAGGGAGCTTCTGAAGGCCCTGGCTGAATCCCCGCCTCTGGCACCACATCTTCTCCAGCCTCCTCATTGTCCGACTCGAGTGCCAGCTGCACAGGCTGCTGGCGCAACACCACACCAGCCTCCTCGCTGTCGGAATCAGCTACAATCTACACAGGCCGCTGACGGGCCACAACATGCCTAGAGCAGCGGCATGGCGAGATAAGCAGCAAATAAATGTAATAAATAAATCCATGCTGTTGAGGTTTTTAGCATAATAGAATAGAACAGAACAGAACAACGGAAAAGAACAGAACAGAACAGAGTTGGAAGGGACCTTGGAGGACTTCTAGTCCAACCCCCTGCTTAGGCAGGAAACCCTATCCCATTTCAGACAAATGATTGTCCAATCTCTTCTTAAAAACTTCCAGTGTTGGAGCATTCACAACTTCTGGTGGCAAGTTGTTCCACTGGTTAATTGTTCTCACTTTCAGGAATTTTCTCCTAAGTTGCTTCTCTCCTTGATTAGTTTCCACCCATTGCTTCTTGTCCTGCCTTCAGGTGCTTTGGAGAATAGCTTGACTCCCTCTTCTTTGGGGCAGCCCCCGAGATGTTAGAACCCTGCTATCATGTCACCCCTAATCCTTCTTTTCATCAAAATCGACGTAACCAGTTCCTGCAACCGTTCTTCATATGTTTTAGCCTCCAGTCCCCTAATCATCTTTGTTGCTCTTCTCTGCACTCTTTCTAGAGTCTCCACATCTTTTTTACATCGTGGCGACCAAAACTGGATGCAGGATTCCAAGTGTGGCCTTACCAAGGCATTATAAAGTGGTATTTTATAATTGAGCCAATTATTTAATAATTTTAATTATTTTTAAATTTTGTTTGTCTTTGTGCTTTTAAACAGGCTGTACACTGCCCTGAGTCCTTCGGGAGAAGGGCGGTATAGAAATAAAATTATTATTATTATTATTATTATTATTATTATTATTATTATTATTATTTAATCTTTAGTGAGATTCACAGCCTTTGAGGCTGGTTAATAGCTCAGCAGCTCGAGTCCTAACCAATTATTATTATTATTATTATTAATTATTATTATTATTATTAACACTTCACGTGATCTTGATTCTATCCCTCAGTTTATGCAGCCTTGAACTCTGTTGGTTTTTTTTGGCAGCCGCCAAAAAAGTTTTAGCGACTCAATTGATGGGAGTCCTTAAATGCGCGCCTTTGTCAGTTTGCTACTGGTTCGAAATTGTGTCCGTCGGAATGAAAACCAGTTAGGGAAACTGGAAGGACAGATAACAGATTAACAGAGTTGGAAGGGATCTTTTCTTTTCCTTGTTATATTACCATTCACCCTAATCTCTTAATACAGGGGTCTGCAACCTTAAACACTCAAAGAGCCATTTGGACCCGTTTCCCACAGAAAAGAAAACACCGGGAGCCACAAAACCCTTCCCGTGTCTGACGATTTCTTGAGCGTCCACAAAACTGGCATATGTAGTTGAATTAAACATTCTGTTTTCTTCTGAAACTTCTCTTGGATTTATCCATGATTGGCCTACCGGGGGTTGAAAAGCTCAGTAAATCGTGTGCCGGCGGGTGTCGCACGTTGGCAGTTGTGACGCATATTTTGAGTGACGGAGCCGCAGCAGAGGTGAAAGAGCCACATGCGGCTCCAGAGCCACAGGTTGCTGACCCCTGCTCTAAATCAATTTTTCGTTTTTCTCCTCCTCTCGTTGTTTTCTCCAAGTTCAAAGCCTTTAATTTAAAACCAATCGTTTTTCTAATACCTAACCCGAACTCTAAATCATCCTGTTCAAATATTTTCCCATTTCTCCCTTTTCACCACGTAATACAATTTCAAGTGATTTCCCTAGATTCCATTATTCCAATCACAGATATTAATAGTCGTCCCATTTTACATATATAACCCATTTCCTTCCCTCTTTTCCATTTCTTTCTTATCAACTTATCCAAATACTATAATCCAATATCTTACTACCATTCACTTAAATATATAACATTAAAATCATTCGTTTCCATTTCTCAATTCCCGTTGCTTTTTTAAACTAAACCCAATTTTCCATTGTTTTTTCAAATATATATATTATCTACACCTCTTCATAGTAAACCATAATCATAATTAGTAATATTTCCCCCTCTTATAAATTAATTTCAATTATTGCCAACAGTATCTTAATCTCTTCTTATTAAATATTAAACAAACTTAATTTTCACAATACAATATAATTTCAAATGCTTTCGCTGAATTCCATAATTACAATTAAAGGCATTCCATGTATTGCAATCATTAAATTTACTACATTTCATTTATGCTTATAAATCTTACTTAGTTAATTTTCAACTTTTCCCTTTCCCTTCTCAATTTAGCTAAATTCCATTATTACAATTAAAAGCATTCCAAGTATTACAATCTCATATACTGAACTTGCTAAAGTTCATTGATACTTATAAATCTTACTTCAATTCATTTATATTTCTGAATATCTAAAACATATTTTCCTTTTTCCTTTCCAGCAGCTACACCTTTCTCCCTTCATCCCATTTTCTTATTTTTTTTCTTTTTCCCCTTTCCCCCCTAATTTTAAAATCCTTTTTGCCCTGTATTTCCAACTGGTCTCTTCCTTCCCCTTTTCATCTTTCTTATTTTCCCACTGTTAATCCCAGTGTAATCATTTGAATTTTAAATATTTGTTCTCTTCTCCCCTTCGACCGGAAGTGTGGTCTTACTAAGGCTTTGTAGAGTGGTATTAGTACCTCCCTTGATCTTGATTGTATCCCTCGGTTAATGCAATTTAGGATTGCATTGGCTTTTTTGGCTACCGCCGCGCACGGCTAGCTCATATTTAGCTGGTTGTCCACTAAGACTCCCAAGATCCCTCTCACAGTCACTGCTATTAATCCTGGAATGCGACGGGATGAGAGGACAGGCTGCTGTGCGTCTGGTTCAGGTGGCCTGAACATCGGCCTTCTCCCTTTTCATCTGCTCCTTGTCTCCTGAAAAGGGTACGTGACGACTATCTTGGAAGATGCGAAAATTTACTCCAGCCACGCCAAGAAGTCGAGCGTCGACGCGGACGACGTGAGGTTGGCCATCCAGTGCCGGACAGACCAGTCGTTCACTTCCCCGCCGCCCCGAGACGTACGTTTCGCCTGCTTCAAATCTTGGGGGAAGAAGGGACAGGAGGTCCTTCGGTCCCATGAAGCTGCCACGCTTACAGGCAGTCCCCAACTTAACGACCATAATGGAGCCCTGCCTGATATGGTCCTAAGTCGGGATCGCCCTCAAGCGAAACGCCAAACTGATCTCAATGACCTTTTTTTAATTTTTGATTTTTTTGCAGTGGCCGTTAAGCGAATTAACCCTTGTTCAAGCCAACCTATTGTTTGCTATGGGGCAGGTTTGCCGAAAAATGGGGGGGGGGGGTTTGGAAAAAAATGTCAAAAATGGCAGTCGCGTGACCGTGCCGTAAATTTGGGCTGATTGCCGAGCACCCAAAATGTGGCCGTATGACCGTAAGGCTCCCGCAGCCCTCAGAACTTCAAAATTAGTCCGTAAATAGTCCCAAAGGTGGGGTTTTTTTTTCCCAAGAGGCAACTGGACTTCCTTCTTTTTCTTTTGAAGACGTTTCGCTTCTTCTCCAAGAAGCTTCTTCAGCTCTGAGTTGGATGGTGGAGAAAGGAAGGATTTATCCTCCTCGCAGAACAGCTGGTCATTTGCATCCTTTTTTAGGGAGTCGTTGAGGTCACTGGGACGTTTATTTGTGTCCTCAGGGTCACCTGAGGGGTGCAAATGAGTGTGGGGCCTTATTGGAACTGCTGAAAGGCCTACGTTGTGGACTCCACACCCATTTTCACCACTCAGGTGACCCTGAGGACACAGACAAACTTCCAAGCGGCCTCAGCGGCTCTCTAAAAAGGATGCAAATGACCAGCTTTGTCTGCAAGGAATATCAATCCTTCCGTTCCCCACCATCCAACTCAGAGCTGAAGAAGCTTCTTGGATGAGAAGCGAAACGTCTTCAAAAGAAAAACCAGGAAGTCCAGTTGCCTCGTGAAAAAAAAACAAAACCCTTTGGGACAACCATGAACCTGGAGGACCGAGAATCTCCATAGACATTTAGGTGATAAGTAGCTTTTGGGAGGGAACCTGTTGTAAACTTCGAATGACCAGTAAGCCACCATTCAAGGACTACCTGAAAATACTTCTCAGTGGTAGACTGGGGGTGGAGAAGCAACTAGGCGAAAGGAGATAAGCTTAGCTTGAGTTGGATCCCAGAACCTGGGCTGTAATTCAACAGGACAAGGGACTCGCTCCTTCTAAACGGAAGATTTTGCTAATTTTGCGTAAAACGTCTCTTGTGTTCCACAGTTTTTGCTGGACATTGCAAGGCAGAAAAATCAAACCCCGTTGCCTTTGATTAAACCCTACTCCGGGCCAAGGTTACCTCCAGACCGATACTGCCTGACAGCTCCAAATTACAGGCTGAAATCTTTGCAGAAAAAGGTAAGGGCGTTGTCTAAAATCTTTTGCGTGGCTGGTAGATAATTTTCCCGTGTTGGCGTGGGAAAATATCCAACCTTTAAAATCATGGTCTGTTTCCCCGTTGATCATCTTATCAGATTAAATATTTAGACCAGCCTACTGGCTGGGGAATTCTAGAAGTCGAAGCCCACACACATCATTGTAGATTTTAGAAAGAGCTGGTATGGTCATACTCCACTCAGTATCAAGGATGCAGCTGTAGAGGTGGTCAAGTATTAAGTATCTGGGGGGTGCAGACAACTAACAATCCGAACTGGTCTCTTCACACGTCATCTTTAGTGAAGCGTGCAAACCAGCGTCTGCATTTCCTGCGTCGGATGAGGAGAGCACCCTTTTCTCCTTCTGTCTTGGCCACTTTTTACAGAGGCACAATTTGGAACGTTTTAACAAGCTGCATCCCTGTTTGGTTTGGTGGCCTCAGTGCCTCAGATAGAAAGCCCCTACAGAGAATGGTGAGGACAGTGGAGATTATAGGAAGTTCGCTTCCCGTTATTCAGGATACTACCGATAAGCGCTATGTGCTTAGAGCTCAAAGCATCGTTAGAGACCCCCACATGCCTGTTTCTGTTGCTCCCCTCCGGGAGGAGGTTTCCAAGTATTTCTAGCAGGACTTCCAGATTCTGTAACAGCTTTGTTCCCTAGGCCATCCGTCGTCGTTCTCGCCATTTACATATATACAGCCAAACTAGATTGTGTTGTTTAAAAGGATTTAAACTGACAGATTTTTACAGCGAAGCTTTGACACAATTCGTATTCTTGAGAAAGACTGTCCGAAATCTGCCGTGCTCCAGATCAGATGGACTTCCTTTAGATCCAGCTCCATCCAAAGGCCCCTTGTGGTTGGAAAAGACGTGTAAATGTGAAGTGAGGAGATCTGATCTCTGTTGAGATTAAAAAAGATGTTGAGTTGGAAAAAGTGCAGAGAAGAGCAACGAAGATGATTTAAAGGCCCGGAGATTAAAGTGTATGAAGAACGGTTGCAGGATTTGGGTTTGGGCAGTAGAGAAAAGAAGAATTAGGGGTGATATGAGAGCAGCATTTTAGTATTTGAGGGGCTGCCCCCAAAGAAAAGGGGGTTCAAATTATTCTCCAAAGCACCAGAGGGCAGGACAAGAAACAACGGATGGAACTCCTCAAGGAGAGAAGCAACCTGGAATGAAGAAGAAACTTCCTAATAGTGAGGACAATTTGCCAGTGGAACAGCTTGCCACCTGAAATCGTGGCCACTCCATCACTGGACAGCCATTTTGTCCGAAACGGTATAGGTCCGTGATGGTGAACCTATGGCACGCGTGCCACAGGTAGCACGCATAGCCATATTGGTGGGCTCAGCTCCGGCACGCATGCGCGCGCCGGCCAACTGATTTTCAGGCCTTCTGGGCCTACCGGAAATAGGGAAACAGGTGGGACCGGAAGTCAGGAAACGGATTGTTTCTGGCCTCGGGGAGTATGGGGAAGGCCCTTTTCGCCCTCCCCAAGCTCCTAGAAAGGCTCTGGAGCCTGAGGAAGAGCAAAAATCGGGAATTCTGGTCTTACTGGACGTCGGCAAACAGGCCGTTTCCGGCCTCCGGGGGGCGGGACCTAAATTGGGTGGTGATGATGATGATAATAGTCAGCATCGACAAATTCACAGCCAGTCGGTTGCAAAAGGCAGCTCATTATATAGGCATTCCTCGACGTAGCGACCACAATTGAGCCCCAAATTTTCTTTTTTTTGCCGCTCAGCGAGATAAGTTGCTTCGCCCCCAGTTTTACAACCTTTCTTGCCGACCGTGGGTAAGCGAATCACCTCAGGTGCTAAGTTAGTCACACGGTTGCTGAGTAAATCCGGCTTCCCTCAGGGAGTTCGCTTATCAGAAGGCCGCCCAACCCCCGTTTTTCAGCACCGATGTAACTTCGAACCGTCACTGAGTGAAGTGTTGTAAGCTGAGGACTACTTGTGGGCTCTGTCATTCCGACCGGCTTTCGGTTTCTGCTTTTTTTTTTTTAACCAGATCTCGTCCTCTGCTGGCAGGATCACCGTGCCCCGGCTGAGCGTTGGTGCCGTCACCAGCAGGCCTAGCACACCAACCCTAGGTAAGCCGTCCCTCCATTTTGGGGGGGGAGGGAAAGAAGAGATGGGGGGCTATCACCTCATAGCTTCTGTTTCCAAAGTATGTTTCTTTCTCCACTCATCATTCCTTCCTCAAAGTCTTGTCTTTCTATGTGGCTATTCCATGAGGCTCCAGCAGGTGGCAGCACCTTGCCAAGCCCGGCTGGTCCCCAAACGAGCTAGCAGGGTTGCGTCTTTTAATACGGGGATGGGAGACCACTAGGAGACCGCCAATTTTCCAAAACAAATATAAAAATGCTCTCAGAAGAACATTTGTGGAGATTCTCAGTCATCCAAGACATGGTTGTCTCCAAAGGGCTTTTTCAAAAGGCAACTGGGCTTTTTTCTTGAAGACATTTCACTTCAAATCCAAGGAGCTTCATCGGTTCTGGCAGGATGATGGGGGAATGGAAGGATGATATTTCTTTGCAGTCACATTTTAGCAGTCTCTCTCAGTGCTGTTATTATTATTATTATTATTATTTATTGAATTTCTATACCGCCCTACTCCCGAAGGACTCAGGGCGGTGAACAGCCATGGAATAAAACACATACATATACAAAATTTAAAATCAAATAAAATGAATTAAATAAATTTGGCTGAATTAAAACCCATAATTTAAAATACCCATATTTTAAAACACATTAAAATTTAAAATTTGCACTTAAAAGGGAGAAGGTTGAGGTCCCTTGACTCTGTTTCAGGTGAACATATTAAATTCAGGGGAATTTAAATAATACATATTTAAATGCATCTAAGTTTAATCAAAAGCAATACTTCTTGAATGATTCTAAACTTATAAGTAACATATATTGTATAAATCAAGTAAGAATATACAGCGCCTATTAAATAAATCTAGATTTCATAAATATACAAGGCTGATTAAATAAATACAATCTAAATTTCATAAATAACAATGTCTATTCAATATTTTTAATAAATAACATAATTTCATAACTATTCAATATATTTAATAAATAACATACATTTAATAAGAAATTTAAATTTCATAAATAGTATATCATGCTTATTAAATAAAATAAATAATAATATTCAATACATTTAATAAATAACACTACATTTAATAAGATCTAAATTTCATAAATAGTATATCATGCTTATTAAATAAATAAAATCTAAATTTCATCAATAACTATTCAATATATTTAATAAATAACATACTACATTTAATAAGAAGTCTAAATTTCATAAATAGTATATCATACTTATGAAATAAAATCTAATAAATAAGAATATATATTCAATACATTTAATAAATATACTACATTTAATAAGAAATCTACATTTAATAAACAATATGCTGCACTAAATCAACGAATATATATAATTTAAAAAAAATAAAAAAAATAAAAAATATATACTATATAAAACAAATAAGCATGTGAGCTAGCAAGCTGGTTGGGTAGGGGGGTTGCTGGGGAACCTGGACGTTTCTCAGCCTTATGGAACCATTTGCCAGCTGTGGGCTCAGGGCGAGATCTCCCCTTTGCTGCTGTTCCAGTCAGACCTGCCTGGCCTCGAACCCTCAAACCTCTTGTTTCCATTTGCAGGGCCTCCTTCGGCACAGGCGGTGTCCGTTTCTACCAAAGTCGGGACCCCCGTCTCGCTGACCGGACAGAGATTCACCGTCCAGATCCCCACCTCTCAAACATCTGTAAAATCAGGTGAGAGGTTTTGAGTGTTGTTTGTGTGTATGTGTGTGTGTGCGTGTAGTAGTACTTGATTGTCATTGCACCTCGTACGTGTGCGCGTCAGTGGTGGGTTGCTCCCGGTTCTGTCCGGTTCTTGCGAACCGGTAGTAAAAACGACGGGAGGCTCCGCCCGGATGTCATAATGGTCGATCTGTGCATGCGCACTCCCGTTGCGAACCGGTAGTAAAGGTAAGTAGAACCCACCCCTGGTGCACATGTGCGCGCTCGAGTCCTGGAAACTCAAAAGACCATCTGGCCGACGCGCATCTGCGCGCCGGCCAGCTGCTCTTCGGGTTTCCGCGGCTCCGGCATGCGCAAAGACTCGCTGGCGACAGTGCGCGTGCCCATAGAGAGGGCTCTGTGTGCCACCATCACGGCACTATACAGTAGAATTCAATATAGTTACTGCCCTGAGATAGAAGCTGTTTTTCAGCGTATTTGTCCTTGTTTTTATTGACCGGTACCGTCTGCCAGATGGTAATAGTTCAAAAAAAAAAAAAAAAAAAGGGTGCCCAGGTTGAAATGGATCCTTAAGAATGTTTTGAACTTTCTTAAGGCAGCGGGAGCTATCAAGCTCTTCCAAGGAGGGGAGAGGGGCAACCAATAATCCTCTGGGCAATGGCGTTAACCCTCTGGAGCGCTGTCCTATTGGCCACTGTGCAATTGGCAATTTGACATTAAGGCACAGGAACCTGGTAATCATGGAACGAAGGAAAAAGGGGGGTTCAAATCAGCTCTTGCTCATACTTAACCCCAAAATAAAACTGTGTTTTAAATCCAGGTACTTAGGCTGCTGCAAGGTCAGATCAGGGTTTTTGGTGCCCCATTTTCAAGTTTGGCAGCTGGAAGAGGGGTGGACTTCAACTCCCAGAATTCCCCAGCCAGCTATTTTTTTCCCCCCATTTTGCTGACGTCAAGATATATTATGTCGACCGCATTCCCACCATCTATTAAGGAAAGTTAATAAGAGTTAACCCCTTTTTCAAGCTGCCAAGGTTGAGAAACACGGATTTCGTATGTTGTACAATCCCAGAAAAGTGGTTTAGCTCTGTCTGCCATGGTTTGTGTTACTTAAGAGAGTCCAACTGTACTACAGGTAGTCCTCGACAGACGACCGCAGTATAATAGCCTGCCCATTAGGGTTGCACGTCGTCCTGATCGTAAAACGAATTGGTTGTGCAGGCTCCCTGAGCTTGTTTATTTTCTTGCAAACGTTTCATGACCCAACCTAGGTAACGATCGTCAGTGCTAGAAATGCAAATCCCACTTCCTTCTAGCGCTGATGACGTTAGCTAGTGGGGTCATGAAACGTTCGCAAGCAAACGAGCAAGTTTTGTGCAGCAGTCCTTAATAAGCGAACACAGTGGTTGTGAAGTGGCCGTTGCGGTCGTGAAGTGGTTTGCTACGGGCACGGCTTCGTTGAAAACTGTCAATGGGTCCCGTCATAAAATGGCATCTAGGGATCCCTGGACAGTGCAAATGGCCGCGAGTTGCATCCGTCTTGCCGAGCGGCCGAAGTTTGATCGATCGCGGAGTCAAAACTTTTTTTCCTGGCCGATCGTAACTCCGAACCGTCGCTAAGCGAGCGGCCGTAAGTCGGGGATCAACCTATGTCTCGTGTGAGTGGTGTTGATGCTTGCTTTCTTCCTCTTCCTCTCCCCAGCCACCCCGACTACCCCCACCGTCCAGAACGTCCTGATCAACCCCTCCCTGATCGGCTCCAAGAACATCCTTATCGCCACCAACATGGTCTCCTCGCAGAGCGTGGCCGGCGACTCCAACATCTTGAAGCGGAAGCACGAGGAAGAGGAGGACTACGACACCTTATGAGTTCTATGGGGTTCAGCCCCCTACTCCCGCCATTAACCCCCCCCCCCCATTGTTCTTCCATCTTGTGCCTGATCCGGCACCAAATGCATGTTCAGCCGGGATACCCCAGACTTAAAATGGCCACCTCGGGTTGAGTCCTTTTTCACGCTCCCCCTCATTTCCCCCCTCCCCAATTAACTTATTCTCCGGGGTCCCTGAGCTATTTTTTGTAGGCAGCAGAGCTGGGAATTCAAGTCATCCAGGGCATCCCGCCCCCACCTTGTAAAAAGATACTGATTGGAGGACGGCAGATAAAACTGCCGTTATTTAGCTTGGAAGGGAAGGAAATATGAGCAGGGAGGTGTTGGGTTCACACAATCGTGTTTTTTTGTCTTTTGGGGTCCCCCTCAGGGTTGTGGAAAAGCCACTTGTCTCCCGTGTTTGTTGTAAGTCATCCATCATCTGGCCGAGACTGCGACGAGAAAGGAAACGGGAGAAAAAAAAATGACTTTTTCCTTGGTTTTCTGAAGGGAACAATCGCACCCTGGTGTGTGTGACACAAAAAAATCTGCAAAGTTTTGTTCTGTTTGCATGGGGGGCAGGGAAACAGGCACGGCATTGTGTTGATGCAGGGTTGTCGACTCGCGTTGCCCATTCTTTCTGGTTTTAAAGAATCCGGCTGCAAAATGCATCCCTCCCTCCCCGTTATTTTGTAGGCCGCTGTCATAAAAAGTATCATTTCTATTTCTTTGGAGAGCTGCATTTATAAATTAAACATTTCCCCCCCCCCCATGAGGAATAAATAAATAGAGATGTTTGGTTTTTCTAGGGGGAATTGATTTCTTGTGGGTTTAAGGGTGCTTTCCCCCCGCAAAATGGAAATATATAGTCCTCGATGTACAACAGTACATTTTAGTGACCGGTCAAAGTTACGTCGCCGAATCAAGGGACTTCCGATCATTTTTCACACGCTTGCTTGTGTGATTCACAATTCAGACACTTGACAAACCGGTTCATACTTAACGACCGTCGCTGTGTCCCGAGTGTCACCTGATCCCCTTTTGCGATCTTCCGAGGATCTAAATCAACGAGGAAGCCAGATTCGCGTAACGACGTTGTTGCTAACTTAACTGCAACCAGAAATGTCGTAAAAAAGGGGGCACAACTAACTTGACGAATGTCCCACTTAACAAGAGATGTTAAGATGAGTGGCGGTCGTAAGTCGAGGACTACCTGCATTTAAGCCATCCATCCTGCGCGACCCTGGGAGGTCAACCCTCTTCAGCCTCAGCTACGCCGCCATCCCAGTTGTAAATCTGGCCATCGTAAAAAAGGGGGAACCCCGAGGCGCAGTGATTAGAGCACAGTATTGCAGGCTGATTCTGTCCATGCCAAGAGTTAGATCCTGACCGACTCAAGGTTGACTCAGTTTTCCGCCCTTCCGAAGTTGGTAAAATGAGATCCCAGATTGTTGGGGGCAAGAGGCTGACTCTGTAAATTGCTTTGAGAGGGCAGTAAAAAGCGGTGTGTTGTGACCTAGGCCCAAATAGTTGTTACCAGACACAATCAGTCCTAAACAAATGTATTAGAACAGCTGAGAATTATTTCATTCTCATCTTAGTCCAAATTAAGTCCAAAACAAATCCTTCAAACAGTCCTTGAGCCTTATCACCAACCTTTTTTGTCTTTGGCACCCTGCCAAAGGCTTTTCTTGGCAAAACCCCAAGTTCAGAAGCAAGAGATGCAGACAAGAAACAAATGTAGCAATGTTGTTTTCCTACAAAGATCCCAAGAGCTGTTTCTGTTCTTTTAAACCGCCTGGGAGGGGCCAATCATCTCCTAGCCTTACTCCTGAGTCGTCCTTTTTGCTTTAGCTGCTCTTGCCTTCTGGCAGCTCTTCGCATGTGTGCACTAGGAACAGGCTCCTCCTGTTCCTCTGCCTCTCTGCTGTCTGCCTCTGGAGGCTCTGGAGTCCGCACATCACTCCCAGATGGCCCTGGCCCCATCTCTGCCTCCGACGCAGAGCCTTCATCTGGGCCTTCTCGACTCCAGGACTGGTCCATGTTCTTCCCCAGCCTCATCACTGTCCGACTCCACTGCCAGCTGGCGGACCACAATAGTATGTAAGTATTGCAAAGGAAGGAAGTCATCTTGGTGCAGTGATTAGAATGCAGTATTGCAGGCTGACTCTACCCACAGCCAGCAGTTTGAATCTTATCAGGCTCCAGGTTGTCTCAGACTTCCGTCCTTCCTTCCAAAGTCAGTAAAATGAGTACCCAGATTTTTGGGGGGGTCAGGATGCTCTCTAAACTGCTCAGAGAGGGCTGTGAAGTGGTATATAAGTCTCAGGGCCATTGTTATTATTATTCCTCTCCTCCTCGCTTTGCAGAGTGCTACGTCGCGGTATCTCGGTTCTCCCATCGGGGCTTCGAGGAAACCCCCTAAAGTCTTAACTTCGCCCGGAGCCAAAAAAGAGACCTTGCCAAACCAATTCATCATGAGCAAATCTTTAATTAGGAAACTATACAAAATCTTTATTAACCTATACATTGAACAAGGAATATTTTACAGATTAAAAATAAAAAGAAGGAAACGGGGGGGGGGGGACGACGACGACGACGGATGGGACGGGGACGGACGGCGGCTTCACTTTTCTTCCATCAAGCCCTCTTTGATTGGGGTGCAGCCGGAGAAGAAGCGACTGGTGTTGCTCAGAAGACGCTTCCGCCGTTTCTTCAGGGTGGGCTGCAGGATTTCGGGCCCTTCCGAGGGTCTCGGGGGTGGGAATGAGGCCGGGGCGCTGCCCAGGGGGACTGCCAAGGTTTCGGCCTGCATTGTGTCTTCCAGGACCTGGTGGGAGGGGGAGAGAGAAAGGACTTGAGTCCAGGGGGAATCGTTAAAAGAGATTCGCTCAATGACTGCCTGTTATCACTGCAGCGACTCGCTTTACGGCCGAGGCAAAAAAAAAAAAAAAAGTAATAAAATCCAGTGTGATCCCGCTCAGCAGCTCAAATTCTGGATCTCAACTGCGGTCGTAAGTCGAGGACCGCTCGCCGAGCTTACAAGCATCAGTGCCTCCTATTTTGCTCGCACGATGGTTAACGTTCGTCCCTACAGGGAGTCCTCGACTTACCATGGCAATGGAGGACAAAATTTCCATCGCTAAAGCGAAACAAGTAAAGGTTGCCCCGTTTTACCACAATTGTGGAGTGAGTCGCCGCAGCGGTTAAAGCGAGTAGCCCAGTCATTAAGCGGATCGGGCTTTCCCCCTTGACTTTGCTTGTCAGAAGGTCGCAAAAAGGGGATTGTGTTACACCCCCGGGACGCTGTGGCTGTCGTAAATCTGAAGCAGTTGCCAAGCGTCTTGAATTTTGATCACGGGACTCTGGGCATGCGGCCAAGGTTGTTAAGTGTGCAAAGCGGTCGCAAGTCACTTTTTTTGGGGGGGGGGGGTGCCGTAACTTCGAATGGTCACAACGGCATTTTATTCCGATCTCATGTTAAACTGTGTTTTATTCCATGTTAAATGGTTATTTGAATTCCATTTGAAACGGAATAACTTTATTCCCATTCCCTTTTTAAATCGTATTTTATCAAATTTCAGTATCTTTTGTTTCTGGGACTCCCTGCACTTTGATTATGGCCCAAGGGCTGATCAATCAATCAATCTATAAATGGTCACTAAATGAACGGTCGTAAGTGGAGGACAACCCGTATTTGGACACCGAGTGTCCAGTTCTGGCTTGTTTAAACAACAGCCCCCCCCGCTCCCCCAACCCCCCCCCATCCCCCCCCCCCCCCCGTTGAAAACTCAAAGAGCCCCCCCCATTTATTTATCCTGCCCCGACGGCCTCTTTATACCTTTTTTGTGGGTGCGATTGCAGGGGGCTCAAAGAAAGTGTCCCCGCAGGTCACCTGGGTGGGGTCTTCCAGGCTAAAGGTTCGGTCTCCAACATCCCCCATCGACCCATCAATGAGCAGCTCCTCCTAAGGGGGAAAAAACAAACAAACAAAGAGGCAGGCAGGCATTAGCCAGGTCAAGCGTCACGCCGGCCCAATTTGGCCCTTCTCGACAGATGAAGCTGGACCACGGAAGGGAAGTCCCTTCTCGGTAGCACCCCAAGCCCCTTTTTCTGGCCAAAGCAAATTCACAACATAAACAGAGGGAGGGGGATTTTTTGCCGCCCCCCCCCTCCCCACCAGCCAATTGACTTCCGGATGCATCAAGAGTAGAAGCCCCATCGTTCCCAGCCGATGCACCTAGGGTGGGATAATGGGACCTGCCATCCGGCACATCAATAGAAGAGAATATTTGTAGCTCTTTGGTGGTCTCCGAACTTCGTGGTTTTCTTGCAAGCGTTTCGTGACCCAACTAGGGAACGTCATCAGTGATAGAAGGGAGTGGAGTTTGCAGAGAGGAAGTAAGGGAGGAGGAGGAGGAAGGCTGTGGGGTTCCTTGGTGGCTTTCTTGCAGATGTTTCATGACTAAACTAGAGAATGTCATCAGTGCTGGAAGGGAGTGGGGTTTACAGAGGAGGAAAGAGGGGGAAGTGAAAGAGGAGGAGGAGGAGGAGGAGGAAAAGAAGAAGAAGGAGGAGGAGGAGAAGGAAGAAGGAAAAGAAGAAAAGGAGAAGGAGGAGACAAGAAAGAGGAAGAGGCAGAGAAGGAGGAGGAGAAGAAAAAGACGAGGGGGAAGGAGGAGGAAGGAGAAAGAAGAAGAGTAGGAGACAAGAAAGCGGAGGAGGCGGAGGAGGAGGAGGAAGGAGAAGGAAGAAAAAGAAGACGAGGCAGAGGAGGAGGAGGAGGAGAAGGAGGAGGAAGGAGAAGGAAGAAAAAAGAGGCGGAGGAGGATAAGCAGAAGGTGAAGGAGGAGAAGAAGAAGAAGAAGAAGAAGAAGAAGGAAGAAGAGAGTTGTGAGGTCACTAGTGCTCCCTGAGTTGGGCGGTTTTTTCTTGCAGACATTTTATGACCCCACTAGGAGGGGGTGCTAGAAGGGGGTGGAGTTTGCAAGGAGGAGGATGGAGAAGGGGAAGAGGAGGACTGTGTGGTGGTCTCCGAGCTTGCTTGTTTTCTAGCAGACGTTTCATGACCCCACTAGTTAACGTCATCAGTGCTGGAAGGGAGTGGGATTTGCATTTCTAGCACTGACGCTGTTACCTACTGGGGTCATGAAACGTCGGCAATAAAACTGCCAAGCTCAGAGACAACCACGGACCCCACAGTCCTCCTCCCTCCTCCTTCTCTTCACAAACCCCATTCTCTTCTAACACTGACGATGTTACCTAGGGGGGTCATGAAACGTCTGCAAGAACACCCCCCCCCCCCCAAGCTCAGAGAGCACCAAGGACCCCACACAACTGGAGGAGGGCAGACGGAGGAGGAAAGCCATGATACTGGTTTGGGATTTGCCTTTTTATTTACTCAGGGCGCCTTGAAAGAATTCAAAATACTTTCTCCATGTTAACACTTGCAGAACTGAGTTTGCAAGGGGAGAGAGAGAGAGTAAACGTCCCCAGCGCCGGCGGGAAGAGGAAGGCAATACCATTTTTCACACCCCAAAATTCAGCGCTTCTCACATCATAAGTAAGGTCGAGGTTCCCCTCGCACGTATGTGCCAGCCGTTCCTGACTCTAGGGGGCGGTGCTCATCTCCGTTTCAAAGCCAAAGAGCCGGCGCTGTCCGAAGATGTCTCCGTGATCATGTGGCCGGCGTGACTCAACGCCAAAGGCGCACGGAACGCTGTTCCCTTCCCACCAAAGGTGGTCCCTATTTTTCTCCTTGCATTTTTTACGGGGTTTCGAACTGCTAGGTTGGCAGAAGCTGGGA